TAGTTTTGCATTAAGGTTTTAGAATTTAAAAGTTCCTACCCTTAAGGGTGTGAGACCCTTTCAAATGTCGGGTTTTCACTATGTTAATAATTGTATTACCTATCAATCTTTCTTCCGAAAATAAACTAAAATGTCCAGAAATGCTATTTAAGAGTTAGGTACATTAACTTTCTCTAAATTAACTGAATCAAAGTACAATATATTTAATGCTACAGAATATAAATCCAACCGATTTATTTATTGATAAATCCAACCGCGAGGTGGTGGGTTGTCGAGGTGGCACGTTGTCGCCTATGAGCGAGATGGTGCGTTGACGGCACCGAACACTGAGCGTACACGTCAACCCGCCACCTCGTAAAAGAGTGGTGGCGGGTTGACGGGGTGGCACGTTGTCACCTACGTACGAGGTGGCGGGTTGCCAACATCGAACATGGAGCTTCACGACAACCCGCCACCTCTGATAAAAACTGGTGTTGGCGGGTTGTCGTGGTGGCTTGTTGTCGTGGTGGCTCATTGAGTTGAGTGTGTACGACAACCCGCCACCTCGGAAAATTGTGTGGTGGTGGGTTGTCGTGGTGGCCTGTTGTCGAGGTGGCAGGTTGACCTGTGCGTGCACGTCAACCCACCACCTCGGTTTTTTTGTGGTGGTGGGTTGACGCCTCTTACCAAAACACCGAGGTGGCGGTTTGACGTGGTGGCGCATTGACAGCGACCCCTCGCACGTATACGTCAACCAGCCACCACGTCAACCCACCACCACACTAAAGAGGTGGCTGGTTGACGTGTATGAACACGTCTATGCACCACCATGACAACGTGCCACCCCGACAACCCACCACCGCACATTTATCCGAGGTGGTGGGTTGTCGTGTGCGCACAAGTCAACGTGCCACCACGACAACGAGCCACCACGACAACGAGCCACCATGTCAACCCACCACCTCAAACTTCTTCTTCTTTTTGGTGGCGGGTTGACGTGGTGGCTGGTTGACGTGGTGGCGCCTTGGCGTGTTCCCTGTTAAAACAAGGGGACTCCACCATGCAAGCGAACGATAATTCCCATCTCTAAAACTTACACACACACTCTCTGTCAACTGTCACCACGGACCGTTTTTCGTTTTCGAAACTCCAAAGGCCTATCCGTCTTTTTCTTTGCTGTCCAAAGTCCCAACGTCCCAACTACTGTTATATATATATACGTCCGTGAACGCGATAACTTGAGTAATTTTTGTCCGATTTTGATACAATTTGGTTTAAAGGTGTAAAGCAGGATAAACTTGAATGAGTTCGCAAACCAGCATGATCGGACCATGGGAACGGGGTTTTACGGGGGGTTTTATGGGGTAAAAACTGGGTTTTCTAATTTTTGACCCTCAAAACACAAAAATTCCCAATTTCTCTCTAGACCTTTTGTAAAAAGCTTAATAACAAATAATAATAAATAATCAAAATCAAAATCAAAATTTTATTGGGCCATTCAACCTTTGAGTAATAGGCTAAGTCAGAAATTAACAAAACGACAATCCACTTGGGTCCTCTTGATGTACAATAGTCAGTCCATAATAATAAAATAAAAACATGCACACACACAATGCAGAAAACACTAAAATATATATAAATATGTAAAAAAGATCTGATACCAAACAACAGGCTGCTATAAATCTCTTTATTTAAGTCCAATCGTCATTGGTGAGAAATCTGCTTCAAAATACTCACTTAGGCTATAAAAAGGGTTTTCTAGAAGCCAGTTTTTTATTTTTTTATTTTGCCATTTTTTTTATTTTGCCAAATTTGTGACTTGGCAGCCGTCTTACCTGAATTGGTATTCTATTATAAAATCTGACTCCTGCAAAAGGAAAACATTTCAGTACTTTGTCAAGCCTACATTTGATACATGCAAATTGCCACAAGTTCTAGTGGAATAGTTGTGCACGTCTGAGTTGAGAATATAAACATGCTCATTTGATTTAATCGATACAAGACACTGAATTATAAATATCAAATCAAATCAAATCAAAATTTTCCTTATTCATTATGTACACATAGAGTACAGAATGGCGTCAACAAGTACTATTATAAACTAGTAAGTACAAGTATATATAATATAATAATAAATTAAAATTATAAACACTGTAAGAAATTAAATTAACTGTTACAGGCGACATATGCTTAAAAAAAAATCATTAAAACTGTACAACGGTTTAACAATAATAAATGACTTCAATTTCTTTTTGAAGGACCTAAAATCAGTTATACATTTTATGTTGTCTGGTAATGAGTTATAAAATTTGATGCCTGAATATGTTGGCTTCTTCTCATAAAACGTTAGCTTATGTCTATTCAAACAAAAATTATTCTTATTTCTAGTTTCATATCTGTGGTTAAAACCTAGCATACAGTGACTATTTTGATTTTTTTTTATCCACAGAATCAGATCATAGATTAATAATTGGCTGTAAACTGTCATTATTCCTCAATTTGAAAAATGTTCTCTGGCTGACTCAAACCTCTTAAGTTTCATTATTATTCTTATTGTGTGTTTTTTTTTGTAATATAAGTATCATGTTAAAATTTTCATTAGAGGTGTTACCATAAACCGTCAAACCAAAAGAGACATGAGAGTGCACAAAAGCAAAATAAACTGCTTTAAGGGTTTTAATATCACAAAATGGAGATAATTTTCTAAGGATGAAAATGCCTGTTGACATTTTTTTACAAACTTGAGATACATGAGTGTTCCAGCTAAGAAGTCTATCAACAGTTAAACCAAGGAATTTGGTTTCCTTAACTTCATCAATAAAGGAATCATTAAGACAAACATTCTTTACCACAGACCCACTTTTCCTATTTGAAGCAGAAAAATTAATATATTTAGTTATTTGTTTATTTAATAAAAGGTTTAAATCAGCTAAATGTTGTTGGATTGCATTAAGTTTTATAAAAGAAGATATTTCTATATCATTTACATGGTATCCGGATAGTTTTATATTTACATCATATGCATATAAAGTGATTTTACTTTGATCACTGAAATTAGCTAAGCTATTGATGTAACATAAAAAGAATAAAGGCCCCAATATAGATCCTTGTGGTACACCATATTTCAACAGACTGTTACTGGAACGGCAAGATATAAGTTGATTATATTTGTTTACGTATTTCAGTTCAACAAAAGTAGTTCTATTACATAAATAAGATTTGATCCAATCATAAGCTTTATTTTTTATTCCAAAATTTGAAAGAATACTTAATAATTTGGTATGACAAACGCTATCAAATGCCTTGCTGAGGTCGATGAAAATTCCTACGGTTTGCTCGCCTTTATCTATAGAATCAATGACTGATTCTATGAAATCTGTGCTTGCACTTATGACTGATTTGTTTTGTCTAAAGCCTAAAGCCATGTTGCTCATTGGAAATAATCTTGTGAGACTCCAAGTATTTTGTCAATTGCTGTGCAACGACTCTCTCATACAATTTGGAAAAGGATGACAGTAAAGATAGCGGCCTGTAGTTAGAAGCAATTTGTGCATCACCTGATTTAAAAAGTGGGGTGATTTTTTTGACTTTTAGTTTAATAGGAAAAATGCCAGAAATGAAAGACGAGTTGATTACATGTGTTAATGGTTTCTTTAGAAAAACAGAGGCAAGTTTTATGATAGGCATAGGTATGTCGTCATATCCAGCAGAGTATTTATTGTCAAATGAACTTAGTACACTCTCAAAGTCCTCTTCAGTAATAGCTTCAAAAATACCAAGTTTGCTGTTAACTTTTTTGGTTTGTTGTAAGTCATTTGCAGATGACAATAGATTTGCATAAGGTACTATTTGAGATTCCACGAAGGTGGTATAATATATTCATTAAATAGAGGCAACATATTCAGGTTTATCAAATAACAATCCATCATATTGTCTTAACTTGATATTATCATACTTTGTTTTCTGTTTCATTGCCAATAACATTCCAAGTTGCTTTACAGATATTGCTTGAATTGCACGGGTATTTTGCTAGTATATATATATATATATATGACAACAGCTAATTTTCAACCAAAAGGTGAGTGAGCGTAGCGAACGAGATAACCTGAAGGCAAGTGAGCGTAGCGAACGAACTTCAACCAGGACGTGATTGAGCCATGCGTACGAGCTCATTTTGAAAATGAACGAGCAATTGTCATAAAACCACGTTAGGACAGGACGACGTTTGTCGGGCCAGCTAGTATATATATATATATATATATATATATATATATATATATATATATATATATATATATACATATATGTGTGTCCGTTAGCGCGATAACTCGAGCAAAAATGATCCGATTTTGATGAAATTTGGTACAAACGTGTAAACCTACGTTTTTTCAAAACGAGTTCGCGAACCAGCATGATCGGACCATGGGAACGAGGGTTTATGGGGGGTTTTATGGGGTAAAAATTGTGTTTTCCCATTTTTGACCCAAAAAACATAAAATATTGCAATTTCTTTCCAAACTATTTTGCAGAGCTTAAAAAACAAATAATTTAGTATATCCATATCGAAGCGTTGGGCCTAATGGTTACGGAGAAAATTCCAAAAAAATTTAAATTTAAAATTCCCATGTTATTCTTATGCAGAATAATAGTAAACTGTTGTAGTTTACTTGTTTATAAACATATTTTTCCCAAATTTGGAATATGTTTTTATTTCTTGCTAGCTATTAACATGTTACATAAAAAAACACTTTTACCCTCCCTGTTGCAGCAAACCAAAGTATGTGTTAAACTGATTCTATTTAAATAGGGAATAAATGTGATATTTTAAAGGAGACATTTTAGTGTAAATCCAATCAGGCAAATGGAAATTCGCTCAGTCTGCAGGTTTGCTGCGGCGCCGGCGAGGGTAATCTATTCTGTTGTCGTTTTTCTGTGCAGTTTCAGTTCAGTTCAGTTAGATGTGTGCCTTGTTTCTGGAACTCTGAACTCTACTGTCACTGTCAGTAGTGTCAAAACAAAAGTGTCAGTCAGTATCAAATATTCTGTCATTATTCCATTCTGTGCCCTGCGTTCTCGTTCTGCCATGTCTGCTTTGTTTTCTGATTGCTAGTAGCTGAGGTTTCTAGCTGACCGTTTTGTGTACCCTTGCTAAAATGATTTCTTAGTAGTAGAGTTATTCATCCTGCTTTCAAAATGAACAATGGCGATTATTCACATTACTTAGTCAATTTACCTCAACATGTATATCTTAATAATTATAGCTGAAAGAAGAGTCTCAATCTAAAAGATTCATCTTATTTTCTGTAATGTGCTACAAAATCAGATAAATTGCAAGTTTATATCGTGCAATTATCTGTCTGTAGGTTTATCTCGAAATATAAACATTTTTCTTTGTGATTTTCGCATTCTTATTCTTAGGTTGACTGAAAAATGAATAGAAGGAGGACTCCAAGTAATTTTACTTACGTTAGTTCGTGTGTTAAATATATGATCTTCCTATTAAATTTCGCTTTCTGGGTGAGTATCTTACTCAACTTCTTACTAGACTACTAGGCCTAACTACTTAACTACTAAAGTATCCTGTACAGTAGGCCTAGTGTAAACGTATTTATTAAGTTAGTAAAGCCTGAGCTAAGTTATATTTGTGTCTGAATTCGGCATCAATGCAATCAACTCAAAACATTCTTAAAATCACAAAAATAAACAGAAGTTTGGATCTAGCCTATAAGTTAACCTAAACATCATTTAAACAACAGAGCCTACTTACTTAGTTGGCAAAAATTATCACTTATCAATCCCTTGGGGAACTTTGCCCCCTACTCCATTGTATTATTGATTGTTACAATCGATTTACAGTAGGCCTAACATAAGTTAGAATATTCAGGTTTTGGTTTGATTCAAGTTTTGTCATTGAGCGAATCATATTACAGAAATAGGCCTACCCCATTTTACTGAATTCAGGTTAACCAAAACGGTTCCATAATATAATACAGGGCTAAAATATAAGTATTAAGTTACGTAAGCTTTAAGTATTTTCTAACCCATTGTGGCATTTCTGTAGCCTAGTTGAAATAAAACAACATATTTAATAGGCCTAGACATTGTTTTAAATTCATTTTACACACTGTTGTAATACATAGGCTATTTTTAGAATAACTTCTGCCTATAACGGGTTAAACAAAAAATTGGTTATCTGAAACAGCTCCCCACCCTTTATTTCGGGTAACCGGGGTTCTAACTTACTGTAATTCAATGGGGGATTTTAAGATATGTCAATAACTTAAAATCGAGGTGCAAATCAAACGACAAAACTCAACTTCGATTTGGACCAATAGACTACAACAGCATCGTTGAGCTAGAACCTAAAGAACTGAAAGCTTCCGAAGAAATTCTTTTGAAATCTGTACAGGATGAAACCTTTGGTGAAGAAAGGAAACTTTTGATGAGAAAGAAGTCTATTCCGAAGTCAAGCCGCATTTATTCATTCTCTCCATATTTGGATTATAACAACATTTTAAGAATGTCATCAAGAACCTCAAACTCACCCGAACTGACGGAAGATCAGAAAAATCTTATAATATTAGATGGCCGACACTTTACTTCGAGATTGATAGGACAAATGTATCATAATGAATGTTTCCATCAAGGTCTCGAGACAGTTGGGTGCAAGATAAGAGAAAGATTCTGGATAACAAATCTAAGACCGATTCTGAAGAAAATTAAGAAAGAATGCATGAGGTGCAGATTGAATTGTGTGAAGCCTGTTCCCCCCCAAATGGCGCCTCTACTAGAATTCAGAGTAACGAGAACTAGCCACCCGATCTTCTACACTGGAGTAGATTACTTCGGACCGATAGAAGTTAGTGTTGGGAGGAGACACGAGAAACGTTGGTGAGTTTTGTTCACATGTTTGACAACCAGAGCTGTCCACTTGGAAGTTGCACATTCTTTGAACACAGAAAGTTGTATCATGGCAATCTAATGTTTCATTAGCCGAAGACCCTGTCCATTGGAGATGTTCTCGGACAATGGGACAAACTTTGTTGGGAGTGACAAAGAACTCAGGAATGCTACTAAGTGTTTAAACAATGTCCACATTCAGAGGGTCATATCCAGACAAGGTATCAAATTGAACTTTATTCCTCCTCGAGCCCCACATATGGGTGGATGCTGGGAGAGACTCATCAGATCAGTTAAAACCGCATTAAAATTTGTCATGCGTTCCCAGTATCCTAAGGATGAAGAACTTCGAACCTTTCTTGTTCAAATTGAATTTATCATCAATTCAAGACCACTGACTAATGTACCAATTGACCCACTTGATCCAGACCGACTCACTCCAAACCATTTTCTTATAGAAGCCTTTAAAATAGATATCATTGAAGACAAACTTTGCAGAAGGCAACTAACTTGAGTTAAGACCCTACTGGACAACTTTTGGCAAAGATGGATTCATGAGTATTTACCCTGCTTGACAAGGAGGTGCAAATGACATAAAAGAACTGTTCCACCTGAAGTTGACGACTTGGCAATAATCGTAGACGAAGACAATACAAGTTACACCTGGCCCCTTGGAAGAATATCTGCCCTATACCCCGGTCGAGATGGACAAGTAAGAGTTGTTGACATCACAACACCAAAAGGTACTTTTCTGCGTCCGATGACAAAAATTGCCATTCTACCTGAGGAGGGAAAAGAATCATGGTACAAATTGATCTTTCAATATCGGTGCAACTTTTCCTTTTATCAGCGGTGATGCGATTTTCTTGAAATATGGAATATTGTTTTCGGCCAACACCAATGCTTCCTTCAATAAACCACCATCCTTTAGTTGGGAGTAATCAAAAATCAATCTCAGACCAGAGCTGTTTTTTATTGCTTTTTCCACCTGTTTATATTGATCACTATCAAGTTTTAGTTCCTATTAGTTATTTAAGATCAGTTTACTTTGCTTTATTTCAGTCTGCCTTGAACTATGGTATCTTTGGAATATACCAAAGAATATACCTTTGGAATATCTTGGTATCTTTGGAACTATGGAACTTTGGGGTAATAGTTTTCATGTCTCCGATGTCTTAATATTTCAAAAAAAGGTCCTGCGCATAATGGCTAGGGTTGATACTGAGGAACATTGTCGCCCCATTTTTATTGATTTTAATATTTTAACCGTTATTAATTTATATATATTTAATATCATCCTTAACTAGTTTTAAAGGTATGGACTCCCATGCCACAAGGAGCAGGGCCGGACTTAGGACTTCAGGGGCCCCGGGCAAATTTTCCAATGGGGCCCTAGGATTTCAGTGTGGGGGGGTCTCCGGGGGGATTGAGGGGTATGGAATACCCCCCAAGCCAAAGGGGGGTCCGGGGACAAATTTCTAAATTTAGGCTTCAAATAGAGCAATTTAAGGCCAAATAAGCAATAAGTTCTATATCAAAAATTGTTCTTCAAATATAACTATTTTAACATATTTTTATATACAGCATCTTTTAATTTTATACACAAAAAATAAAAATGTTTGAAACCTAATCTCTTGCATTCACTATTTAAACAAACTCTGACAAAATGTTTCAATTGCTTTGTAGTACCAGTGACGGCATATTTGGTATGGTTATGGTAGCATGGTAGGCTACCATAATATATTTGGATTAGAAGCATTGATATATTTTTGTTTATTACGTATTTAAATTATCGTTTATTGCCGTCGATTTGTATGATTTTTCAATATTACTACAATATAGTGTGATTGTTTTATTTTCATAATGGTTTTGGTACCTATGGCATTCTCGTTTTTATAATATGTTAAAGTCCTAGCATGAAAAGTACCATTGAGGACTTTCAAGTTTGAGTTTTTTATTGACGAGCAAAATCTTGCAATGTCTAATAAACACTCACAAGCTAACTATTTATATGAGTAGCTGAAATATGTTTAAATGGTTCCAATTTCGATTAATACAACACAAACATAGCATTGAATACAACTTTATTCACTTCAGCTTTGTTTTTGTACTGTTAGTTTGCAGAATTACAATAAAATAACTCAAAAAGTAAGACAATTTCAACCAACTTGACGTGACCACTAGTCTCAAAGGACAAACTATGGGAGTAAAGTGATTTAAATTGTTTTGGATAGGCGATAAAGCATTTTATGTGTGTGTATGCGAGTGCGTGAGACAGACAGGACTAGACAGGATCCCTTATCAGCTCATTATCATTGATTGTTGCAGCTGCTTCTGCTTATCACTTGTTTACGATTTCAGTCGACAACGCTCGCCCACTCCAAATAAATGTAATTTTTTGTTAACATCAGACGACTCCAGTTGTTTTAAAGTGTGATGTATTGTGATGTTGAGAATTTGGATCTTTTCTTCTTTAACTAGCTTACTAAATTCTTTTGGTGTAGACAACATTGAAAGAACAAAGCGTTGATATATGTATATATATCTATAGATTTATAGATATATATAGATCTAAAAGATCTATAGATTTAAAAAATCTTACTGGCGCTGTATGATTTTGACTCCAAAGACTAAATTGGAGATCAACATTTCGACGCATAACTTAATTAATTACTATTTTACAAAACCTTTAAATTGAACGGATAATATACTTCTACCCCTTAAAATCCTGATTGGTATATACTTAGAAGTAAAAGAAAATAATAACATTTAATAAAACATAAATGGAGCAATATTTTTATTTTTTAAAGTATTTGAACTCCAGTGAATCTCCATTTAACACAACACAATTTTACAAGTTACGTTCTACGTTGGGACAAGAGTTTTCATGTTTATTGTATTTTTGCCCCAAGCGCGGGGCCCCCTTCAACTCATTCGCCACGGCCGTACGTTCGGGCGAGCGACTTCATTGAAACTGAAACTTGTCCATCACAGTCTAGCACATATGCTCGTGTAAACCAGGCCTAAGCGCGGAGCCCAGTGCAACTCTGAGGAAAAGTCCCTTAGGGTCAAGAATTTCGTTCCTAGTAATGCCTTTAAAAGTACCTAACAATAACCTTAAATATAGAATAACGAAAATAAAAATAAAGCTGTTACAAAAGAAGGCCATTTGATAAGTGTCTGATAAATTTTCGAAGTTATTAATAAAAACTACAGTGCAAGGGGGCCCCGGGCGATCGCCCTCTCCGCCCATAGGTAAGTCCGGCTCAGACAAGGAGTGATTATCATGATTTTCAAACTAGAAACGGACATCAATTTGATATACCCCATGTTAGACTGAGGAAAACAAATAAAAGTAATACAATTCTGGGCCTAAAATGTTGAAATAAATCGCCCAACAAATTGCTATCGCTTCCTTACAAAATTTGTAAAGCTAAAATTCATATGTGGCTAGTAAAGAACCCGTTCTACAAACTAAACAATTTTTTAGAACTTCCTAGACCATTACATATTGAGTAATGTTTTTTTACTTTTTTCTCTTGTAGTTATCCTCATCTGCATGTATTTTATATTCTCTTTGTATCTATTGTTTTGACCTTGTACTCTACATCCATTGTACTCTTCCTTGACAAATGTTTAACCAACCTTTCATTGACCATTCCATATGCAATTTTATTGTCTATTGGGAATCAAAGCTTTGATTTGATTGCCAGCCTTGGCGAAGTTCGTGGTGATACGGTAACTTATTGATAACTTACCTACTAACTAAGTTTGCAGCAACATTGTGAACTCTTCCAACATTTTCATATGGCAATACTGTGAGCTATTCTGACATTGCTAGTTATGACAACATTTGCATAGAAATATGTTGTAGTATGTTGTAGCTTTGTACTTACATAAAAATATTTCTGAAATTAGTTTAGAATAGGCAAATTTCCTAATTAGTGGATTCGGAAAAGTATAATTCTACTGTACAGTTTTGGTAGTAGGCCTCACTTGTATAATGAGGCAAACATAATAATTTTAGTAGGCTATAGTAAAGTCCTGCTAATAGGCTATGAACCTTTTGCTAATCTTTAAATCCGTTATCTTATTTTACCTTTTCCTTTTATAACGTCTTCGTAAAAATCAATCCAGATAGAGGAATCATCATGGTTCACTCATGACGGGTTTTAATGAGGCACACATGTGTGAATGTGTGTTCTTCACTGTAGGGCCTCTCAATGGTGTAAATGTGCTCCTTTGATGATTTTGATTTTGAGGCGAGTTATTGGATGAATCTTTTTTGTAGGACTATTGGTACCGTAATTGGTTTGAAATTATTCAGAAGCGAGGCCTGTGAACGGTAGTTTATAACACAATGTTTATAGTCTACGTAAGGTTTCAATCTCTGTTTGTTGTGTGTCCTTTGTTGTGTATATATATATATCCTTTGTTATAAATCGAAATAAAATTTTTCAGTTGCTGGGCGGATTGTTGATTGGAGTTGGAACCTACGCTTTCTTAGACAAGTGGCCGGATGTCACAAATGGACTTATCAAGCTACAGACAATCTATGACGTTGTCCTGAACATCTCACTGGTCCTGATATTGGCAGGTGGTGTGGTTTTCATTGTTAGTTTCTCAGGATTCGTCGGGGCTTTGAGAGAAAACACTTGTCTTTTAAAATTTGTAAGTATTTTAATATATACATACATATATGTATATATATATTTCATATAGACATTGATTGTTCTTTTGTTTTGTTGACATCTAAAGTTTTGAGTTGGAGCTTTTTGGAATTAAATATTGATTGGTCTACATCATTGTTTAGTTAACGAACCACTGGTGGGTCGCAGGAGGACTTTTGGTATGCTGCGAGAAGAAATCAAAGATTAATATGCTTTTTACCCAAGAAATTGGACGAATTTTCAATTTTTACGAACGGTACACAGAAAGTCGGGTGAGCAGCAAAATATCTCTAGAATCGAGTAGCAAGGGACAGTAGGATTAAATAATAAACATGATTTTCTAGCTCCAAACTAGGGACATACAGCATTTGAATAGATACCTGGCTGATTATTATTCCCGAATTTCAGGTGGACTTTTAGTATTATATGGATTTTTGTCAAGACCAAAATCTTGTTCTAATTTTGTGATTTTGAAAAATGCCTGCAAAATGTTTGTGGTCAAGGTGCAAAATCACCACAATCCGTAACAAGCCAACCAAGCCTATTTTGCCAGAAGCGTCTATTGCTACAGCCGCCAGCGTCTGTATCTGAGCCGCTAGTGTCGATCGCACACCATTGCTCCTGGAGCAGACAGAGACGCAGTCTCTAGCGTCTATTACAAGAAGACCCATGTGTTTTGTTGTTTCCAGTTCTTAATTTCATTCAGTTTTTCACACAGTTTGAAAGTTGAGTGACATGTCACAAACCACAAAATCTCTTTATCATCCAATTCCTCAGCTAATAATTACTTCTATATTTGCTTTTTAAATCTCATTTCACATACAGCACTCCTTTTGCCACCAAATAAAACCACTCGCTGATAAAATAATTGCAAGAAACAGACGCTTCTGGCAAAAATAGTCCCGAGCGATAGACGCTGAGCGATCAGTGCTGGATTTAATGTACTTCTGGCCCTAGGCAAAACTAATTGAGCGGCCCCCAACCCTGTGGTGGAATTCCCTCTAATAGCGGTGAAATCATAAGAATCTCCCACAGTCATCATCATCATCATCACCAGCGATCGCGCATAAAATAGTGAACATCTCCCGCGGGTCACAATCACGGGTAAATCATCATTGTCACCCACGATTGAGGAATAATCTTGAAAACTTACCCTTAAACAAAGGAGACGATTTTATCGTCACTGACACCCAAGACTGCGGCAAAATCGTGAACATCTGCCACGAACCGAAATCACGGAATAGCACTCAGGAGAGTATGATGTGTTCTATCTGTCTGTTTCAGTACTCTTTGTGTCTGCTGATACTGTTCCTGTTGGAGATGGCTGTGGCTATCATGGGCTTTGTCTTCCCTCACACCCTGCAGTCAATGCTAGAGGAGTCCTTCACAGACAAGATCATCCACACGTACAGAGACGACGTGGATCTGCAGAATCTCATTGACTTTGCTCAGAAGGAGGTTTGTCACTCCATAACCACTATTTAGAATATTTACAAAAAAGGATGTTCAATTTCACTGGTTTAAAGAGCTACTGAAACTACTGGTATATGTTTTGCAGAAAACAATATTATTGCGTTAGTTTTGGTCTCATCATGCCTTGCTTGTATTTACTTATTTAGGGGGCTATACATAGTATATGGAGAAAGAATTGTTTGCGTCAAAATTTTTGAGTTTAAGTTTTGAGTGGATATCCTGTTTTGGGTCCTGACCCAAAAAATTGGTTTTCAAAGGGATGTCTGTCCGTGTGTGTGTGTGTATGTGTCTGTATGTGTAAAAAGCTACAGACCACACCTGTAGTCGGATTTTGATACATAACATGGTATCCATGGTATCTCCGGCGTTTTTTATTTTTTTTTTATTTTAGATTTTTAATAGCAATTTTCCATTAAAACCCATAAATTAACAGAAAAATCTAGTATTCAAATTTATTATGTTGTGGCCCTTTAAATTCTTAACCAAATGGTAGAACCCCCTTTCCTGTAAAAATTATGTTTAAAAAGTTATTGTAACTTATGTTATTTTCCCATAGAGAACCGTAAAATAAAAAGAAATCAGATAAAAAAAAAAAACGGTTTTGATTGAAAGTTAATGCAACTTTTGTGATTTTACCTGCTAAACATGGCCGTCGCCTGGTTGGGGCGTTGGGGTGCCAAGGCAAAAGTAATACAACAATACCCCCGCCGCAGCAAACCTGCCGTCTAAGCGAATTTCCATTTGGCCGAATTGATTTTCAATTGATCTATTTAAATAACATTAGGTTTAACGAGTACCTAGGTTTGCTGCTACAAGGAAACTAATAAAGTAGTGTGTTTTTAGTAAAATATTGATAGCTTACTATAAAATAAATAAATTTGCCAAGTTTGATCAAAATATATCCATAAACAAGCAAACTACAACATTTTACAATATTCTCCATAAGAATAACATGGGAATTTTAAATTTACCATTTTTTTAGTTTTCTCCGTAACCAATAACCGTACAAAAACACTTTGATATACTGAATTGTTTGTTTTTTTAAGCTCTTTAAGAAGGTTTAGAGAAAAATTGGGAAATTTTGTGTTTTGAGGGTAAAAAGTGAGAAAAACCAATTTTTACCCCATAAAACTCCCCATAAAACCCTGTTCCCATGGTCCGATCATGCTGGATCGCAAACTCATTCAAGTTTATCCCGCCTTACACCTTCAAACCAAATTTCATCAAAATCGGATAAAAATTACTCAAGTTATCGTGTTCACGGACACATATATATATATATATAAATCTATATATAGATATATATATATATATATATATATACATATATAAAAATTTGAACGAATGGTGTTTTTGGCCTCTGGGGACATTAAAATGAAAAAGTAAATCGGTCCCGGGCCTAAGTCTTACCATGAGACCTACGGTAATAGCTACTTCCCTATAGGGAAATTCGCTAAAATTGAAAAAATATAACAAAATTGAAAAAATTATGTTAGACTAGCTGTTGTACCCGGGCTTCAAAACGGAAAGGACACTGAAGCGAAAAAATTTGATCTTGAATTCTGTTGTATAAAATAGTTACACATTCCCCTTTGGTGTTAGGAACATAACTCAATTGAAACTCTTAGTTTGACAAATATCTTTCTTTAAGGCTAGGCTAACTTATAAGACTACCTAGTACGAATTATATGAGGCGCTGATGCATTTATGGAAATAATGTACCCATACGATTCAATTTTCAAATATGATAAGCTTTGCTGCACTCGAGAAACTTTCCACACTCGCCCACGGCTCGTGAATAAACATTTCCCCCATGTGCAGCAAAGTGCTACTTCGCACATTAGTTACACAAATTAGTTATTTGTGTAACTAGTGGTGAAAGTGGCACTTTGCTGCACACGAGAGCAATGTTTACGAATGATCTCGAGTGCAGCAAAGGCCTTTTTCACTCGTGTTACACATTATATTTTTCCTACAGTCACTATAAAGCATATAAATAATTAGTCTTTCAAACACTATACAACACGTTTTTAGGTTCAGCTGGCAACACAAATGGTGCCCTAGAGAAAGTAGTACCCACGGTCCGTATCACTCCGCTATTTTTCCTCCGCAAGAAATGTGCTCCGCGTTTTGAGAATATAGTTCCGTATGTTTTTGTAATTTGAAGTGGTTTCCGCGCCTAAAAAAATGCTTTAAAGGTATTTTCTTGTTTATTAAGATCGTAGAAATGTTTTAAAAACGTTTAAGAGAAAAGTCTAGAAAGTTCAGAAATACCGAAACTATAAACACGAAATGACAGGTTAAATCGTAGTTATAATAGTCAATCAGCTGCTCATAGTATTATTATCTTTAAGTTTTGCCAACCTATTTCCAAGCGTACACGGATTACTTGCATAATAGAACCACGCTGTTTTGTGTTGTTTCGTTGGAATCCTGATGTGCGGCAAAGTATAAACCGTATGACAAAGTATAAACCGTACGGCAAAGTATAAATATGCAGCAATTAGCAGCTTTCTGTACTATAAACAGTACAAGGAAGCCAACTTTGTCGGGTGACTGTAGGAAAAAAATATTGTATGCCACTATGATTAGTAATTCTAAACATGATATGTGTTAAATCATTAGTTAGGTTTCCATCTTGTGATAGAGTAATTGACTTGGTGTATTTCTCAGTTCAAATGCTGTGGACTTAGCTCGGAGGGATACATGGACTGGTCCAAAAATGAGTACTTCAACTGCAGCTCTCCAAGTGTAGAGAAGTGCGGTGTGCCTTTCTCCTGCTGTATCAACGCCACCGATATATCTGTGAGTCTAACCAACAAAAATTTTAAAATCGTCTCTACATAAAAATAGTAGATAACTTATTATTTGTGTATCTTGTCATTAAATTCCACATGATTTGAATTTGGTGATAAATAAATACAAATCCATATCATTATATAAAAATTTGATGGTGTCTGTCTGTATGTCTATTACTATTTAATTTAAAAACTACTGAATTGACTGAGCTTAAACTTTGCAAAAATATAGCTACCATACCAAGGATGGTCATAGGACTATTCACACTTCGATGCTGACTGTTGGCTTTGCCCCTTTGGCTTTCTGAGTTGAGGATTTTAAAAGTAAATATTGATTGGTCTCCATGGCTGCAATGTGAACATTCACAATGTTTACATTTGCTTTGACATTTAAATGTAAACAAGAAGATCGCCAAATTGCTTATTTCACAATATCAGACAGCTGATCCAGAGAAATTAAATATAATATTTTACCCAACCCGCCATGTTGAACTTCCCTATCCCAAGCGTAAACAACTTCTTTACTTCACTCGGTGAAGTAAAGTTTCAAAAACTCACTCTGTGAAGTAATGAAACCCATTCAAATAACATTGAGTGCTCAACTTAATAAAATATACCTCTATGGAGCCAACGACGTTCAATGCTAGAAATCAGCTGTGCGCTTGAATGTTATTGTTATGCTTTAAAGTATTTTCCTAACCTAGCTTTTGTTTGTAAAAGAACGTTACTGTTATAAGATGAGTGAAATGGATAATGAAAAATATTGTACGTAACCTCCTGTACATTGTCGGGTCAGGTAAAATCTTGTACGTTACACATTCCGCAAGAGCGTGTTTACATCACTTAGGTGAGTAAAAACGCTCTTACTACACTTGTAACGTAAATAGCTACTACACAACTATGTGGTAGGCACTGAGCTTGAGCTATAATTATAACTGGAGTCACCACTCTGTGTTTAAAACGCATACCAATGCTTTTGCTGGTTTTTTCAGTTTTTCGTATTGTTATGTTGGTCATATGGTTGGTTGGTTGAATAGCTTTAAAATTAAAACCAATCAAATGGGGTTATTTTTGACAAGTCCAACCAACCGAGACAGTGTGACCGACAAAACCGGTCATCTTGATGGCATGCTTTTCTCAATTGTTCAACTAGAGAGTAGTGACTCCAGTCATAATCTATTCATCTCAATGGTGGTAGGTTTATTAAACCTAAAACTTTATCATATAGATTATTTTATTCTAAAACTATGTCAATTATTATAGAAATAAAAAAAGATTATATGTAGATTTAAACTCAACTGCCTGCTGTTTCCAGAACAATGTTCGGTTTTCAAGGTCGTTTAAAAATAGTATGGCAAAAATGCTTAACAGGGGGAGCCCATAGCTAAACCTTCTTTTTGTTCAATTGTTCTCTTTAATGGAAACAGCAGGCAGTTGACCCTATTAAATACATATTTGTGCAACATTCTCCAGTCAATCAGCTGATCACTGGAGAACTTGGGGGGGGGAATATGAAGCGCGGGGAGGGGGAATATGAAACGCAGGTAGGGCGTCGGAGTCCTGTTCCGGATTCAAGAGCGTGTGGACGGACTTCAATGGTCAAGGCTGGACTCCATCGCCGAATTGATAAGTTATCCTTAGTCTAAGAGATTTACGAATATGTTCTAACTTTTCAGAAAAGGGGGGATTAAGGGGCTAGGGAACTATAAATTATTTCAGCTTAATATTTAAGTTATACCTTTGAGCACACTCGTACCCTTAAGGTACGAGTGGATTTTTCATTGTTCTTTTACTTATTAAATTAATAATTAGATGCATTAGTAATATTAGATCATCAAAATGGTTGTGATATGGATGTGGTTTGGCTCAGTAATTAATTTAAGATCATTATTATTCAACTCAGAATGTCACTCGCAACACTAGATTGATTATATTGAGCCTTAACGATCCTATGAGTCCAGTACCGTTACTATAAATTATAGTAACACGCTTCAAGGCCCGTCCAAACCGAAGCGGGAAAGCGGCGGGAGCGGGAAGGTGGCGGGAAATTTTGTGTTTTGAGGGTCAAAAGTGAGAAAAACCAATTTTTACCTTATATAACCCCCCGTAAAGCCCCGTTTCCATGGTCCGATCGTGCTGGTTCGCGAACTCATTCAAGTTTATCCCGCTTTACACCTTTAAACCAAATTTCATCAAAATCGGACAAAAATTACTCAAGTTATCGCGTTCACGGACGTATATATATATATATATATATATCTATACTTATAAAAGGCAAAGCCCTCACTGACTCACTCATTCACTCACTCATCACTAATCCTCCCACTTCCCATTTATCTAGGAGGTTGAAATTCGGTACACCGATTCTTTGGACATTAAATAGGAAAACTAAGTAGTTTTTATTCTGATCGGGCTTTCGGGCTCCGCCCCAGTGGCTCTGGAGTTTCCCATGTTAACCTTATGAGTACTCATATTTAAATGGAATTAAAGAATCTTAACAGCTGTTTCAATTAAACAAGTTGGTTCTGTTCTATGATGTCCAATAGCATTAAAGTTACAAGGATTACCAACAGGGTGCAGCACTATTTTTTTTTAATTCATGACGACAGCTAATTTGCAACCAAAAGTTGAGTGAGCGTAGCGAACGAACTTGAACCTAGAGGCGAGTTAGCATAGCAGACGAGCTAAGCTGAAGGCAAGTGAGTTCAGCGAACGAGCTCCAACCCAAAGGTGAGTGAGGGTAGCGAACGAACTTCAACCAGGACGTGATTGAGCCATGCGAACGAGCTCACTTATGAAGTTAAACGGGGCAAAGCCCGCGGGTACAGCTAGTTTAAATATAAGTCTATATGAAAAATAGAAAAATAGGGCTACTATATATAAATAAAGATTAAACATTAATAAACTTAGTACCCAAGTAAAATTATTTATTAAAATATTTACTGACTATAGTTTCGGCTCTAAGGCCATTTTCAAAGTAAACAAAAATCAAAATAAGATATGTAAATAAATAAATAACATATGATTTTATAAAACTTTTCTAACTTGTAACATAATTTTGTCTTCATTGATTAATTTATATACTATATGATGTGTTGTACTTATTTTCATTTATATTTTCTCAATTTTGCTATTGTTTCATATATTGGATTATTCAATTTTGGAATCATTGTATTTAAAATATTTGATTTGTTATTTTTGTAGTTCATATAAATATTAATTTCTTCTTTTACATTCAATTTTTCTCTGTCTTTTTCAATTTCTAATATTGTTAAGTTTTCTTCGATCTTAGTAAACTTATGTTTGGATTTTAGTAAATGATCTGCAAAATTGGATTTCATTGATGTTTTGTTCTTGGACAAACCTATCGAAATTTTAAAGTTAAATTCAACGAACATATACAGGCATATAAATCGAAGAACAAATCAAATATTTTAAATACAATGATTCCAAAATTGAATAATCCAATATATGAAACAATAGCAAAATTGAGAAAATATTAATGAAAATAAGTACAACACATCATATAGTATATAAATTAATCAATGAAGACAAAATTATGTTACAAGTTAGAAAAGTTTTATAAAATCATATGTTATTTATTTATTTTACATATCTTATTTTGATTTTTGTTTACTTTGAAAATGGCCTTAGAGCCGAAACTATAGTCAGTAAATATTTTAATAAATAATTTTACTTGGGTACTAAGTTTATTAATGTTTAATCTTTATTTATATAAGTCTATATATATATATATATATATATGTATATAAAAATATGAACGAATAGTGTTTTTGGCCTCTGGGGACATCAAAATGAAAAAGTAAATCGGTCCCGGGTCTAGGTCTTACCGTGCCACCTACGGTAATAGCTACAGTACTTCCCTATAGGGAAATTCGCTAAAAGTATGATTCAGCCGGCAAATGTAGGCAAGCCAGAAGCGGCTACTCAAGTAGGAGACTGGACGTCGATAATACAAGCGACAGCTGCGGCCGTGGGTCAAAACATTGTAGCTGCGTTACGCAATCGGGAACCGGCGACGTCTAGGGACACACCACGAGCATTGTATGACATGGTGGCGGCGTTGAGAAAATGTACAGGAGCAGATGGTCAGATCTTGTTAAAATTTTTGATAGGAGTCCAGCAAATATTCGAGTTAGGGTTAACCGACGAAAAGACAGCCCTAGTGGCGATTTTGCCGAAAACCGACGGTCAGCTGAGATCTATCTGGGTATCGGCCATTGCTAATGGGGTGTCAATAGCCACATTGCGTGAACAGATCATCAAAATGTTTTTGCCAGACAGAGCTGGGCAGCAATTGGTTTCCAATTCGATTTACCTCACCCAAGGACGCAACGTGCCTCTTAGTGACTTTATTACCAATGTACAGAATTCAGCCGAAATTTTGCTGAAATCCAGCATCAACCTGTTAGATATAATTCTCACAGGGGTGAACCCAGCGAGCCGAGCCAACTTGGCAGGATTTCCGGCTCCTAGTACAGTGGAAGAGTTGTTGCATTTAATACCACGAATGGAGGTAATCAGAGATTCGGAGCGTAATACGGATAGGCCGCGCGTCGAAAACCAACCAACAGATAGATTTTTCCCAGACAGGCTGCATCGCCAAGGACGAATTGGAGATTCAAATCACGCGTGGAGAGAGCATGAAAACCGAAATAGCGGCGCAAACCAAATGCAATTAGGGCAACCGCGATTTCCTTATAGACCCAACACAGTGCGATATTGCGCGAGTCGTCCGAACGGCGATCGTATGTTTAGGCCACGTCAAACGTACCAACAACAATTCCCATGGTGGCGACGACCGACACGACCTCAAAACCAATTCTGGCCTCAGGGTAGATTTAACAATCAACGCCAAGCCTATCGGCACACACAACCAGGTGATTTTCAGCAATCAAAACCAACAAAACTCCAGCCTAGGGCGGTGATAGGCGCGACCCACCCTCGCAAGTGCCAAGGCGCCGAATCAAACGCCGAGATAAAGAATAGTAGTACAGATCATAAATCAAAACATGCTCCAAGAATTCCAAAAATACATTTATGTTCAATTCCAGTTAAGTTTGGTAAATACACAATTAAAGCGTTGGTAGATACAGGCAGTTCTTACTCAATAGTTTCTCATGAACTTTTTCAGAAAATTAAAGAATTGAAATCAGTAGAAAAATCCATTGAGCGAACCAAAGATTTTGCAGTAGCGGCGAAAGGAGATAAGAGCTAAGGAGAGAAGTTTTTAAATACTGTAAATTTACACTTCTCTGGATCTCTCCTCTGGTTTATCTTATAAATAAATCATTTAAAGAAGGCAAATTCCCATCCACCATAAAAGTCAGTAAAATATACCCCAAACATAAATAAACGGTATCAGCATTCTGACACATACTTTCTCCCATAAGTTGTTCAACAACCTTTATTATGTGTAAGTGGTGTAAATATACGGAAATGGGATTTGTACAATTTTGTTCAGAATATAAAGGACTATAACATACAAAATTTTTATCAAAATTGTTCGGGCCATTTTTGGGAAAATCCGATTTTTCTGTTATTTTATGGGGGTTTTATGGGAAAATGACATAATTTACAATAACTTTTGAACCGTAATTTTTACAGAAATGGGATTTGTACAATTTTGTTTAGAATATAAAGGACTATAACATACAAAATTTTTATCAAAATCGTTCGAGGCATTTCTGGGAAAATCCTATTTTTCAGTTATTTTATGGGGTTTTATGGGAAAATTCCCATAAAAAATACAAATTTCTAAAAAATTAAAAAACTATCAAAATTGTAACGACCATAACCTACTATGTTAAATCAAAACAGGATTTTTGTTCTAAAATCCTATTTTTTGTTATTTTATGGGGTTTTTATGGGAAAATAACATATTTGACCATAACTTTTGAACCGTAATTTTTACAGAAATGGGATTTGTACCATTTTATTCAAAATTTAAAGTGCTACAACATACTAAATTTTTATCAAAATCGTTCGGGCCATTTTTGAGAAAATCCAATTTTTCCGGTTTTTTATGGGTTTTTATGGGAAAATCCCCATTAAAAATCAAAATTTCAAAAAAATGAAAAAAACGCCTGGAGATACCATGGATTAGGACCTACATACCAAATTTCATCGAAATCGGACCACAGGTGTAGTCTCTAGCTCTGTACACATCCAGACACACAGACACACACACACACACACACACACACACACACACACACACACACACACAGACATCACTTTGAAAACCAATTTTTTGGGTCCAGGGGGACCCAAAACGAATATATCCACTCAAAACTCAAACTCGAAAATTTTGACGAAAACAATACTTTCTCCATATACTATGGTATAGGGGGAGAAAGTAAAAAGGACCAACTGAAAATGCTCAAAACTACAGGCCCATCTCTCTCATCTCCAGTTTCTCTAAAATCATAGCAAAAATTGCTCTGGCTATTTTAATGGCACATCTTAATCATAACAAACTCTTAACTGACAACCAACATGGCTTTCGGAAGAATAAATCTACATCCTCAGCTATAACAGCACTAATTGAGTACGTCCTAGACCAGATAGAAAACGAACAATACATTTCCGCCATCTTCCTTGATTACAGTAAGGCTTTTGACTGCCTGGGCCACGACCTGATATGCAAGAAACTCGAAAGACTTGGTATAAGAAACTCTGCGCTAGAATGGTTCAAAAGCTACCTAACGGGACGTTCACAAGTCGTGGAACTGAAAAACTCATCAAATGAAGTCACAGAAAGTTTCAAATCTTCAAAAAGCAAGCTGACAAGAGGAGTTCCACAAGGCTCTGTATTAGGCCTGATTCTATTCATCCTATTGACTAATGACTTCACCAAAAAAATTGAGAGTGCAAATGCTGTTGCAATCATGTATGCAGATGACACGACCATTTTGATCAAGGACAACACAGCCCAAAGCCTATACCTTAATTCAAAATCGATCTTAAATAAAGCTATCCTCTACTCAAAGAACAATGACTTAGCAATAAACCCCACAAAAACTACAACTCTGAAGTTCAGTAAGAAAAAAGCCATAGTCCCTCAATTAGAGGATGTAACAATAGAAAACCACACAAAATTTCTCGGTGTTATCCTTGATAACAAACTAACATGGAAAGAGCACATCAACCACCTAAGCAAAAAAATCAGTACTGGAATATATGTCGTCAGAAGAATAAACTACATAGGCGGACTCTCTGTGGCCAAAACAGCTTACTTTGCACTGGTAGAGTCGCATCTTAGATATGGCTTGACAGTGTGGGGAGAAACTTCAACAAAAAATATGAATCAAATTTTTGTCCTTCAAAAGAAAGCCATAAGAGCCCTCGCCAACCTTGTCCCACCACAGACTTGCAGATTAGCATTCGCAAACCTAGGAATCCTCACAGTGGTGTCTCTCTACATACTTGAAACCATAAAGTATGTGAATGAAATAAACCCCCCAAGAAACCAAGACCTGCACCACTACAACACCCGTCATGGCTCCAAATTTGCACTACCAGTTCACCGAACAACTCTTTGGGAGAAAAAACCTTCCTACACCGGCTGCAAGCTGAGGAACCATCTACCTGACTACCTGAGAGACCTGACTGGCAACAAGCTACACCAGGAGTTGAAGAAGTGGCTAATCGCAAGACCCTTCTACTCAATAAAGGAATTTTATGAAAATTATGGAAATTAACATGTACAATTCACTATTGTATTGACACTATTGTAATTCTTAACGAATTGTATTGTATTGTATTGTATTGTCGTTTTTACGACCTGGGTCTTGAATTTTAGAAAGTATGTCAGATTTTTCTAATTTCATTGCTTTGTTTTAGCAATTCTTCAATATTAGTAGCAATTTTTTACCTGACTGTAGACATTTAGGCTTCTCATCAGCTATTTGTAAAGGCAAAACCCTTGAAAAACGAAAATCGAGCATGTATGCCCCATGGGCTGGGTGTAAAATGTGGGTTAGACTTGAGTCTTAAAATAATTAATCACACTTATTAAAACTTTCAATAAAACTTTTAAACTAAAAAAATCACTCCCCGACTGCGCCACTTTAAAATATTAAACACGTAAATTGATATTAAGGGTTTGCCGATTAAAATATACTATGTAAAACGTATGTAGATACTTTGACACAACTACTCACTTTCATTGCCGGATAGAGAAGACCAAATCCTCGTTCCATTTCTAGGATCTTCATAGTGTTTTTTTTTTTTTTATCTTGTAGGCAGGCTTAATCTTTGTTCATCTTGCTTTACTATATACACTATTTACATATATACATGACAGGTACAACAGCTAGTTGTTAATAAAGTTTTACCAATAATGTAATACATATATTCTTCAGCAGATTGTAACAGTTCCGGCTTAGTTTGTTATTACTTTTAGATATTAGTTTACTTGGGCTGAACCTATTCTGTTACTATTACTTTGAATAAACATAAACTTATAGAACATGGTAAAATAATAAAATGGAATAGATAAAAAATTACTTAATTTAATGAATTTAGAAATAATACCCTATCACAACAAAATTACCCTCCTACCGAATGAGCTCATCCAGACCTAACTTATACAATATTTAATCAGGTAAATTAAAAGATTGATTAGATATGTAACTTAAATATTAATATACATAGCTTTAAGTTGGGTTTCCTTGGCGAAGGGTGCTGAGTAGGTTAGGTCCGTAGTACTGTATAGTCGCTGTGGTGTAGCTGGTTAAGTCCATTTTCCTGTCGTCTATACTCTCCCATCGGTCATCGGCTGGTGTTATCAAGTAGATAATACGTCATCATTGATCCTGTAGTCATATCAGTAAGATGTCTGTCGAAAGTCGGAGGGGACACACAATGTCCACTGGATCTAGGGTCTCGTGGTCTTGACGATCTAGATGAATCACTTAATTGTCAGCAATGCATTCACTTCACTGATAATTCCTTGGTGATATCTTGTATGTAATATAAGAAGCACAACTATGTATCCTATGAAGAGGGATTTCCACAAAAGATTACCGCGATGTATATAGATAAAATGTCTCTAGACTCCAAACAGCTAGACATCGTCCATCTCGTGTGTAACGTCTTGAACCGGAAGAAGAAGGGATGGTGAAAGTTCCAAAATCATGTGAGCCCCGGAACTGGCCTCTGGTTGGCTGTTTTGCCACCACTCAAGTCAAATGTGACTACGTGAGTCAGGCGATTCGTCCGTTCGGTGCTGCCACCAAGCATCAATTTGTCAAACTAACTCCCCATCACCATTTAGAGTATATTGTCTCTATCTATTACTTTGACCCCTTTCAAGATAAATTAGACATAACAAGATTTGGTTTTGTTTGTTATATTTGTTGTTTGTCTTTTATGTGGAATAGGCCTAATGATAAGCAACTTGTTCTAGCCAAATTTTCTTGCTCATATTCTTTGGCAAATTGGTAGTTAAATTTGATTAGTAAAAAAATAACGATTTAACAATAAAAAATAAAAATAAACTTAATGTTCGATATACTATCTACAGTAGACTCCCTCTTATCCGGACTCCTCGGGACCGAGGCCATTCCGGATAACGGGTTTTCCGGTTAAACCGACGTTCCCAAAAAGTCGTTAAAACAGACTGTTTATTGTGATATTCGACTTAAATTTAGGAGAGCATTGTTTTTAGACATGTGAACACTGGTCTCAAATCATTCCCATGAGAACAGTCGTTTCAGTACTGCCCACTTCCTGCCGATCCAGTCCGGTCAAACCAATGTGCTGATAAAAATTGTCCGGTTAAAGAGATGTTATTTCCGTCGAGTGTAGTCCGGTTAAAAGGTGTCCTTAAGAGGGAGTCTACTGTATATTGTTATGCACCGCAGTAATAATTGATTTTCATAGAACACAGTAACAAGTTATAATAATTGAATGTTTATTTTTTCAGAGTGGTCTTGTCAACATAATGTGTGGCTACGGAGTACAGGAGTCATCAGTAAGTGTTTAATCAACTCCTACTAAAAATAATATTACATTAAGCCTGTTTATAGATGTAGATAAATTGTAACAGAATTGTACCTAATCAGAATTCAGGAAACTGTGATAATTTTCTATAAAACAGCGTATGAGTAATATACAGTAGTACCGAGGTAATTAATGGGAAGGAGACCACGGATAACTGAAAACCACCGTTAATCCAAGATCGTATAAAATATTTTGACAGGCCCATAATAATACTGTCAAGCAGAATAGACATGTCATAATTTGGAGTTTTCATACCTTAGTCAAAATATACTATTACGCTATCGTATTAACTTTGGTTAAGTTATAAAGACTGTTCAGTTTTATATCACAGCTATCTCAAACTTAACATAAGATTTGCTAATCACTGTACTGTAATAAATCACTTGAAAACAAAACAGAAAGTTGAGTAAATGACTGCTAGTGATAGGCTACCGGTAAGTGATGTTTTAGCAGAAGACTGTCGATGATGATAGGCAACTAGCATTAGTAGCATTGATAATAATAATCATCTAGCATTGACAATAATAATCACCTAGATGTGTTAGGAGCAGATGATTGTCAGCGCAAGCGTGATATCACCTTGGAGCTTGATCAATATTTTTCTTTGTTCTGATTCTATTTGTTCTATTTTTTCAAATGAACTGTGATGTTTTAAAATAAAAATGTGGGAGCCTACTACATACCAATAATGGACTAAAATAGTTTAACAATGCATTTTACTACACTTGAGTTAAGAAATACAATTTAAAAAACTTTCTTGGATAATGAAGTTATGTACCATAACGTAATTTTGAGATATCTATTGACCACTGTTGATTCGCCGCCTGGTTTATCCGTCCTAGTTTAATCCAGGTTCTACTGTAAAAAAGTAATAGGCAATAAGCAAACAAGAGGATAGTGATATTGGAAGGCAGATAGTTTGCTTATTTTTAGTGATGGTCGGATCCGGATATCGGACTGCCGGATCTGAGCTAGAACCGATGCCCGATCGGATCCACAAAAAATCTTGGGCTGGATCCGGTTTTAATGGATCCGATTTTTTTTATACTATTAACACAAAACGGGCGAGTATTCGAGATTTCGAGTTCGAGTAGAGTACGGCCTTGAAACTCGAGCTTATCTTTGAACTCCACCAGTTTGGTTAAAAATTGTAAAAAATCAACATTTGTTAAAATGTAACTTGTGTTTACATAAAATGATGGATAATTTGTATTACTGTAGATTCTACAGTAATACAAATATAGAAAACTACCCCCGCCGCAGCAAACCTGCAGACTAAGCGAATTTCCATTTGCCTGATTTGATTTTCAATTAAATCTAATCAAATAACATTAGGTTTAACGAGTACCTAGGTTTGCTGCCTACAGGGTAATAAAGTGTGTTTTTCAGTAAAATATTAACAGCTTAGTATAAAATAAATCGATTGGCCAAGTTTGATCCAAATATATGCATAAACAAGCAAACTACAAAAGTTTACTTATTCTCCATAAGAATGACATGGGAATTTTTAATTTATAATTTTCTCCGTAACCAATAACCATACAAAAACACTTCAATATACTGAATTATTTGTTTTTTTAAGCTCTTCAAAATGGTCTAGAAGAAATTTGGAAAAATTTTATGTTTTGAGAGTCAAAAATGAGAAAAACCAATTTTTACCCCATAAATCCCCCCATAAAACCCCGTTCCCATGGTCCGATCATGCTGGCTCGCGAACTCGTTCGAATAAACGTAAGTTTACACGTTTGTACCAAATTTCATCGAAATCGGATCATTTTTGCTCGAGTTATCGTGCTGACGGACACATATATATATATATAAATATATAAATATATATATATATGAATTTGAACGGATGGTGTTTTTGGCTTCTAGGAACATCAAAATGAAAAAGTAAATCGGTCCCGGGACTAAGTCTTACCATGAGACCTACGGTAATAGCTTATTCCCTTTAGGGAAATTCGCTAAAAGCAAGAGATAGTTGTCCTAACCTATTTTTATAGCTGTCACGACAGAATAGGTCAACTCAAAGCAGTCGCCGGTGACTGACTGGCAATGGTATACAGTACTTACTTGACACAGAATATAATGACATGATCGGTAGTGATTTTGTTTTAAAGTAGGCCTACTGTTTCACAATAGAAAATTCCACTACTGAACTGTTACGTAAGCAATAAATTTATGTTTATAAAAGTCAGAATAGAAACACTATAGAGGCAAAACAATAGAAGGGAGGGAGGGGTTGTTCAATGACCTCGAAATGAGCGGAATAGCAACATTGAGTAGGGGGTTGGGGGGGAAGGGAAGGGTGAGACCTTTGAGCTATATATAGACTAGACTTTCACCACTTCCCATATAGCTGGGTATGGGGATTACAATAGCAGGTTTTTTCCTTGCCTGGTTTGACTTTTGTCTTTTTGTGTAGGAGATTTGAATAATCAAAAATATAATTTGAATTGCCCACGATTATTTAGCATTGATAATACAATTTGCAAGGGACCAGGAGGGAATAGACCAAATCACTAAAGTTAATAGGATAACACAAAAAGTAAACAAGAAATGAAATGCAGAACACGATGATTTAACACTGTCACTCAATTTTGTTGTCTAGCTAGAAGGGTCGGTGAACTAATCAATAAATAGCCAAAACCAGTTACCTCCCCCTCTTGCAGTCTCACCACCACCCCTCCCCCCTAGGCCGGGAGGCCCAACACTTTGTCCTTGAAACACCCTAGCCTCTGAAACAATAAACCCTTACACCCGCGTTACTGTTTTGATAACAGGTTTATGTGTGCGTTCACTATTTTTCATTTTCCAGAATTAACTATCAATTATTACTATTTGCAAGTTACAAATAGGAAACTACATGACATTATGGTATTCAATGACCCTTGTATTATCAAAAATTAATAATTCATTACTTATTTTGATAATAAAAAGCATTCATTATATATATAATCATCAAAGTAACTGTGATAAATAACCTATTTTATTTATACAAAATAAAATAGGTACAAAATTGTGTGGCCAGTCAAACTTTATAAACAAACATTTTATTCTATAAAATACAGATGGTAAATAGGGGTTGGTTTAAAGGAAATAAAATACAAAACAGATTAATTAATTATTTTGATAAACGATAGAAAGGTTATGGGATTGATTTAACTAAAATAACCGCAGGGAAACTTATAAGTAAAAAAGTCGTCAAACACAATCTGTTTAATCAGTACATCGTTAGAGAGAGAGGGGGGAGAGAGAGAGATAGCAGATAGGGGCGTTTAATAGAGAATCTGAAAAAGTAAACAAACAAGAAACAACGATGCGACAATACTCATTTATAGCCTTATTGTCTCGCCCACTACATTTGCACACGTGACCACTTTTTGTTTCTTCCTTATCTTTCATCCGTCCCGAAATGGAATTACTGAAATAGTTTGTTGGTATAATCTCCCCTCCCACACAAGGCGCAGTGCTCAGTGCGTACTGTAGGTTGTCACGGCAACCGTGTGTCGTCGTAGCGACGAGCCAATCACGCACTCGCACTGCGTTGTAGATTACGATACGAATAGCTGTGTTAGAAAGACAACGCGTTAGGTGGTAGTTTTTCTCTTTCGTATCTCCTCAAAATTACGATCGATAATCAGATAATCATTGCGCAACGTAGAATTGTGATAACTTTGTTTTCAATAAAGACACATATTAAGAGTTTTTATATGGACACAGTTAGTCTTTGACATTGCCTAGCCATATGAATTAATTTAAAAAAAAAATCCGCCCTTGAAAAAAGAAAAAAAAAACTTATGGTTTCTGGGCTGGAAGATCAACAGTTACTGCAGCAATTAGTCTCATTGAAGCCATAATAGATTCTGTTGATAAAGGCTTAAATACTGCTGGAACATTTATGGACATGTCGCAGGCCTTTGACAATGTAGATCATATGGTATTGCTAAACAAGCTTAAGATAATGGGCATTAAGGGTGTTGCACATAAATGGTTCACTTCATATTTGGAGGATCGCTATCAATTTGTAGAACTCTCTTATTTATCAAAAAACAATTGGATACAGAAGACAAAATCAGATTTACTACAGACGTATCTAGGGGTCCCTCAGGGTTCTATTTTGGGCCCTATTTTATTTATATGCTACATTAAAAACCTCCCAAATGCATTGACTGAGTCAGCCAGTATATTAAGTATATATGCTGATGATATAAATCTTAAAACTTCGGGTAGTTCAATTACTGATATTAAAAATTCTACTGAATTGGAGCTCAAAAATATTGAACAATTTTTAACAAACAACAATTTAACACTTAATACAAACAAGACAAATTTTGTTCTCTTTCATACAAATAAGATAAAAAAAGATCAAACCCCTAAAATTAATCTAAATAATAAGCCGATCAATCAAGTGAAATCAACTAAATTTTTAGGCTTGATAATTGATGAACATCTAAATTGGAATGAACATATTACATATTTGGTTGGTAAAATTAATTCAGGCTTGTTTGTTTTGAGATCAATGGCTTATCTCTGTGATAAAGCTGTGTTAAAATTGATATACCACTCGCTTATAGAATGTCATATTGGCTACGGAATCGAAATTTATGGTGGGACAGCACAAAAAAATTTGAAAAAGGTTTTAAAACTACAAAAACAGGCCATTAGAGTTATTGAAAAATTTAAGAACAAGAAGTCGGTGAAAAAGTACTTTAAAGAAATGAAAATGTTTACAGTGTACGGTTTGTATATTTTTAAAACTATTCGGCATGTTTATAAAGAAAAAAACACTGAAGTACCCCATAAATACAATACAAGGTGGAAAAATCTTACTGTAAAAAGTCATCATCGTCTGAAACTTTCAAAAATGAAGCCTTCGTATATTGGCAATTTATTCATAAGAAGTTTGCCTGCCTTAATAAAAAAAGATCAAAACAAAGCCAATTTTTTGAAAAAGCTAAAATCATTCTTAATTAATCTGGCTCCCTATAGTATAGATGAGTTTATAAATCAAAAATGAATTAGCTGTCCATTCTAAAATAATTGTCAAATTTATGGTTAAGCCATTTAGATTAAGTTTTATAACTAATGTTGTATGCTTTGACACTATTCATGTATATAAAATGTATAAAGTGAATAAAGATAATTTGATTTGATAGATAAAATGTCCATAAAAAAGGGGTTAACTTACAAAATAAGACTGTAGATTATTTACATGTTTAATATGAAAGCATAAACAGTAAGTGAAATTTAACAGCCATTATAAAGCTATTATTTTCACGATAAAGTAGGTTTGGGATCTAATAATAATTACCCTAGTAATAAAAAAAGAAGTTGTAAAGGAATAAAAGTGATATAACTTTTATGAGCTAGCTGCTGAGTTAACAGTTCTTGGAAGTACTTGACTTGACACATGATTGTCGTGATAAAATATTAATGGGTTTGAGATTGCTTATGGGATTTTTATTGCATAATTACTCTAGTAATAAATTATGAAAATGTAAACAAACATCTGATAAACCTTTTATGTGCTCCTAACCAACTAGCGATCAATAAAATTATGGCCCATTAAAAATTTAAGGACATAGTCTGGCATTTAAGGACAATTCCCGTACATTTCATGGCCAGTAAAAATTTAAGTACAATTCCCGGTTTTCCCGGATTTCCCGGTTAGTAGACACCCTGATTTTAAACACTGAATCAGCTACAAAAGCCGTTAAAGGCTTGTTAGGTTCAAATAATGTTTTTTACTGTTCATATCACTCATACTAAGCAGTCTGTTTTCATCCTTGTCCTCATAAAAATTAAACGCAAAAACATATATTGAAATAAAAAATAGAAAAAAAAAATAAACTACACAATCTAACATTTTTGTAACTCTTGGGACCAGTTCCTACCAAGCTTAAATGGTCAACAATTTTTACCTCATAGATATTTGCTATACTGTTGGGCACTTGCACATTTGTGTTGAATGTTATTTTTACAGATGATGGACAAAATATTTACAAAAGTTGATTGGTGAATCATCTGCTATGAATTTTTGTAGGTTCTGAGAAGAAACCTCTTGTGTAACAAGTAAGATCTCTAACCACTTGTCTACCCAACTTTTAAGGCTAATGCCAAACGAGGCGGTTTTTACAGCTGACGACAACTGTTTTTGTAGCTGAAAAAATAAAAACAACAGACGTGAAAGGTGTTTGCCACATTAAACGATAAAAACCGCCAAGCGGAAATTTCAGATGGTGACTGTCGGGCGAGGATGGGCCTGGGTCCACTTTTACAGCTGACATTACCGTTGGCTAACCTGCCACACAGGTGGTGTTCAGTCGCAACAACCTGAGTAGGCCTACTGCTGTTTTAAACGCTTTACTTGTGACATCCTGCAATGATTATTTCAGTTGCAATAATTTCTGAGCTGAGAAAATTGCCTCGTGTGGCATTAGTCTAACTGAGAAATTAAAATTAAAACAGGATAGTGAACTTTTGCATGTGTAAATTTTTGTCACTTAATATAAATTATAATTATTTCCATCTACAGGTAGCGGAGGCCAGCAAGAAGGTGTGGACCAGTGGGTGTATAGAGGTAGTGCGGTCCTGGGGAGAACGGAACCTGTACACTATAGCAGGCATCGCTCTGGGAGTAGCGCTATCACAGGTAGGCGAATAGTTGTATGTCATTCTAAAAATACTAGCTTAAATACTCTTTAAAAATCAAGAAATCAAACAAATCCAAAATTTCCCATCACCACCTATACAGGATAGTCCGACAAACTCAGACTGATGTGGACCAACCAGAAGGTGACAAATTTGGTAAGTACAGATTTATTAGGAAGAAGAGCCAAAAGTCAATACTAAGACACAATATACAGTGTGTTCACCGAGGTATTGTGGACCAATGTAATGAACTGTTCATGCCCGTTTAACACAAAACCTCAGTTGATCAACACTCAGTTAATCAAGCAAGACTTGTGGATTACATGACGCACGATGATTCGATTGGCAACGGTGTTAATTCAACAAAAGCTGGCGAAGAAGGAGCATGCGCGTCGGCTGCTCAATTTGGAACTTCCAACACCATGAAAACGGAAAACTTCCGTTTTTAAGCTTAAAAACGTTACATTAGTTCTCAACCCTCTTAAAGCACTCCAACTGGATGCGCAGAATACCGATTTGTGTCTAGTCCCGCCCTTCATCTTCGTCAACAACAAACAACCCTTTCATCTCACCATCTTGGAACATATTACAAATAATCCTTTTTAAAACCATTTGACCCTAATTTATCCACCAGGTAACATCCTAACTAAAGCGTCCATTATTGAATTAAATATTGACAATTTATTTAATTACCGTACTGTTCCGATAATTAATCATTTGTTTATATTTGATTATTACTAATTATTATTATTTATTTAATTATTTATTAGACCTGTTACGAACCGCCTGTGTCCGGTAATCAGTTTTACTGTTAGTTGAATTCTTTGCCTATCTATGACTTGCCAGGACATATGGTTAGCTTGTGTGGTGGCCTATGGTGCAATCTGCTGGTGCGGTTAAAGTTATTGCAGGAGTGCAGAGACTTGCTGGTCTTTACAGGGACAATAAACAGTTGTCCTGGAGCAGCTCTTGATTGTTTGATACAAGAGAACCATATTTCATGGCAAGATATATCTGTCCCTGCCTGTTTTAGGACTGAGAATAGCTCCCTCCTGAGGGGAAGGTTTGGCCCAAGGCTAAGCTTGCCCTGAACAACTTGCAAAGCAATGGAATAAGGATATCTAAAAGTTACTGAAAACAGACCGGTCTTACCTCAATGTCAAAGTAAAAATTAACTTTATTATACAATTCTTTAAGAATTACAATAGTGTTAACTGTTAACTGTGGGAACGGGGAATTATGAGGTGAAAACTGGTTTTCCCATTTTTTACCCTAAAACATAAAATTTTATACATTTCTTCCTAAACCATTTTATAGAGCTTAATAAAGGGAATTATTTAGTATATTGAAGCATTATTGTATCACCTACAAACCGTACCTACCTAACGGTTACGGATAAAACAAAAAAAAAGTTAAAATTGAAAATTCTCATGTTTTTATAGAGAATAAATAAACTGTTGTAGTTTGCTTGTTTATGGATATATTTTAAATTTTTATGAAATTAGGTAATTTTGTTTATTTTATATTAAGCTATCAACATTTTAATAGGGATGGACGGGTCCCGAAATTTTGGGAAATTTTCGGAAAAAAATATTCCCGATTTTCGGGACGGGATTACATTTGATTCAGGACGGGATTTGATCCGATCGTCGGCGATTTTACCGCTTAGCGAGTGACGATGACGCCGCTATCGCGAGAGATGTTCACGATAGTTCCGCAAACGCAGGAGGCGAAGTTATTTCTACGATCGTGCCATGACCGCGGCATCATACCGACGATCCCGCCGAAACGGCGAGTCATCACGCCGTGACCGCGGAGTCATACCGACGATCGTGAAGTAACCGCGGAGTCATACCGACGATCACGCCGTGACCGCCGAGTCATACCGACAATCACGCCGTGACCACGTGTCATACCGACGATCGCGAAGTTACCGCGGAGTTATACCGACGATCATGCCGTGACCACCAAGTCATACCTACGATCGCGAAGTTACCACGGAGTTTTACCGACGATCATGCCGTGACCACAAGTCATACCGACGATCATGCCATGACCGCCAAGTCATACCTACGATCGCGAAGTTACCGCGGAGTTATACCGACGATCATGCCGTGACCACGAGTAATACCGACGATCATGCCGTGACCGCCAAGTCATGCCGTGACCGCGAGTAATACCGACGATCATGCCGTGACCACAGAGTCATACCGACGACCATCCCGTGACCGCGGAGTCATACCTACGATCACGAAGTTACCGCGGAGTTATACCGACGATCACACCGTGACCGAGAGTCATTTTGACGATAGCACCGTGACTGTGAGTCATTTTACCCATTCTTTTGTTTTTATATATCAGTGCCACAAATGGTAAACATTGATTTTGTTTGTCTTGTTTGGTAACTGCAATACTCAATACTTTCTTTTTAAGCACTGGAGAAAATCCCGTCCCGTCCAAAAAATTGGGAAGGAAATAAAAATCCCGTCCCGAACTAAATATTCGATCCCGTCCATCCCTACATTTTAGGGGTCTGCGGTACAGAAAATTTAAGGTCGGTACGGTTCGGTACGGTACAATATTTTGTACCTCGGTTCTCGGTACAAAATCGGTACGGTACGCGGCTACCCGTATTTTTGCGGTTTTCTTCTCAGAACTGTATCTAAACCATTATTTTTAACTTTAATACATAGACATTACTATGAAAATGGATAGTATCCTACATTCATGGTTTTCTAACAACAATTACTGTACCACACATTATTAAAACAAAACCTTTTACTACTACGAAGATTGTGTCAAGAAAAATCACAGTTGAGATAAAGGCTTTACCTATTTTACTCTGAGATACTTTGAATAGCCATGATAAAGTAGTTTAAAAATAGGATAAGAGTTTTATGAATAAACATGTTTGAAACATTTATTGACAAGATAATTTCACAAAACTGGTAAATTATTTCCAACCAACACAATGTCTAGTTGCTTTTTTTTTATTTTAAAAACATATAAAAGCATTCAGTAGAAGACAGTGTAGTTTTGCCAGCTGTTCACAGCAGATGACAATGAAAAACTGGAGGTTATGATGAAGTAATGGCAAAGACCATTTTTTTTTTATCAGCTTCAAAACTAGTTAAGTTATAAGATGGATACAATTCTTGCAAAGTTTTTTTCTGAAACTAAAATTTGGATTATCACAGAGTAAGATTTGATGTTGGGCAATTAGACTTTATAACTGTGTAAAAGGTGTGTATCCCTGAATTTATAAATTGCATTCTACACTTATTCACTGCCAAACATAATTCAGTAGAACCTTGATGAACCGAGAATTACACTAGCCTACATAACTTCATTACCCCAAGTAAAATACCAAGATAATTTTTATAATTGTATTTGAATCGTATAATCTTAGTTTGTTAAAAATGGATTGTATGTTCAACAATAATTGCAGTCCATTATTGTTAAGCAGTATGGTCCCAAATTATTGTTTTTGATTTTGAAACATCACAGTTCATTTGACAAAATTATAGTTGAAGCAGCTCAATGTCAAGGCACGCTTGTGCAATAGTTTGTTTACATGCTTTCTCCAGACCACGGGGGAGGGGAGGGTCTGATAAGCCGTCTATTGTTCACCCCCAAGAAGGTCCGTCAGTGGGGAACCCAATACCACAAATCAATCTTATAATGAATACAAATATTTGGTAATAATTGTTTTATTAATATTCACCTTGAAATTTCAATAAATTTGGTGTAAAATTTGATAAAAATCTGCCATTTGAACCGATTATTAATACAATACCAAATACCAATAAAGTAGTACATTCATTGGTAATTAAATAATAGGTAAAAATTTACCGATTTTCGTCAAGTTTTACCCCCTGCTGTGCGCTATGTCACAAAAGCTGATAACGACATGGGTGATTAGTAACCATGGCAACTTGTTGAATGCGTGATGAAGGGAAACCCAAGAAATAGAAGAACAAAGAGAAAGAATAGACGTTGTTATCTTTATACCCTTTTTACAATTTCCGTTATTGTTATCTTTATGTAAGATTTTATGATTTTGTTTTATAGGTTTATAAAATAATTCTTTTTAACTAGGGGAATATCAATTTATAATTTATCAACGTGCTTCTCTTCTGAAACAGCAATACCGGATGCATAATAAAGGTCAATGGCCTAAAATATCACGATTGTGCAATATTGTATTTTGATGTTAAAAATTAAAATCACGACAAAAGTTTGTATATATCCATGGTCGTCAATAGAAAGATAAAATATCCATAACAAATATTTTAATTTATAAAATAAGATTGTAGATTAGTTACAAGTTTAATATGTAGCCATAAACAGTTTTATGGCAGTAGGCAATGGCCAGCGGCAAATTCAATATTCACGAAAATACTGATTAAGTTAGAGATAACATTTAACAGTCATCATAAAACTATTATTTTTATGATAAAACAGAATTGGGGAAAGTCGTAAAGAAATAAAAGTGATAAAACTCAACAGTTCTTGGAAGTACTTCAATACAACAATTATTGTCGTGATAAAATGTTAATGGTTTGGGACTGCTAATGGGTTTTTTATTGTACATCACGCTAGTAATAATTTATGAAGATCGTAAACAAACATCTGATAAGACTTTTATGTGCTCGGAACCAACTGCCGTTGACTACGATAGTAAACTGAAAGTAATTTATTATTATAATAGGCTGTACCGAACCGAATTTGTACCGTGTAAAATGCTGTACCGAACCGATGACGGTAATTAAGCTTGTACCGTACCGTACCGACTTTTTCGGTGCACCGCAGACCCCTACTACATTTTAATAAAAATATCTCTGTCGCAACAAACTAAGCAAATTTTAATTTGAAGAGATTTTTATTTCTAGACTGATATCTTTTATTGATAAACACAATATTCTTTCCCCAAATCAATTTGGCATCACGAAAAATAGAAGTACAGTCGATGCCATTCACTTTCTAGTCTCATCTTTGACTCAATCCCTTGATTCAGGAAAGGCTGCAGCTGGAATCTTCTTCGATCTTAGCAAAGCCTTCGATACGGTAGATCACGGCTTCTTATTAGACAAACTTTGCTCACTCGGGATAAGAGGTGTGGCTCACTCCTGGATAGAATCTTATCTGACTGGCAGAACTCAGGTAGTTCAAATTCCTTTCATTGATGACAACAACTGTTCAAAGTCTGCATTTTCACCTCCCCTGGCAATCACTGCAGGGGTTCCTCAGGGCTCGGTGCTTGGTCCGGTTTTATTCATCCTTTTTATTAATGACCCGCCAAGTTGTGTGCCTGAGTCTGAGGGTAGGGTATGTTTGTTTGCTGATGACACCTCATTGTCGTTGACTGCAGCATGCATGCGCGACCTCAGAAGGAAAGCAATTGGTCAGATCAGCTCAATATTACATTGGTTTAGCTGCAATAACTTGTTTGTAAACAGTGCCAAAACTCAAATGATCGAATTTCATATCAGAAACAAAGAAAACACAGCACCCCTGTCAATTGCCATAGACAACAATCATTTCATTCCGTCCTGTTCTGAAACTAAGTTCCTGGACGTTCACATCGACAGCCAGTTGAAATTCACACCCCACTTAGATTATGTCTGTAATAAATTGAGTTCTAATATATTCTTATTAAGAAATTTGGCAACATTCTTGGACTCTACAGTTCTAGTGGTAGCTTACTACGGACTGGTTTTTCCTTGTCTTTCATATGCAGTTGCAGTTTGGGGACATGAGTGTGTAAATTCTAAAAGAGTTTTCAAACTACAAAAGAAAGCCATCAGAACAGTTTTTAAGAAGCAACGTAGATTTTCCTGTAAAACACTTTTTGCTAACTATAAAATTCTTATTTTTCCGTCAATCTATATCTTAAACTGTCTCGTATTTGTTAAGAAAAATATCAACCTTTTTCGAAATCAGTCTCGCCCTATCTCCTATGGTTTGAGAAGCCACCGATTCGGATATTCCAAAGCACAAAACTGCGTTTTTGAAAATCATTTATTTTACAATGGCATTCAACTGTTCAGTGCACTGCCCGCTCCCCTGAAGATGGAAAATAGTGTGGACAAATTTGGCAAAGGGGTTAAGAGTCTTCTTTTGTCACGCTGTTGTTACAGTGTAGAAGACTTTTGAAGAAATCAATGATTTTTAGTTTTTAGATTTTATCCATAAGAAATATTGTTTTTATTTGTAAGAGAAATTTTGTTGACGCTATTATGCAGTTTGTAACGACTGTCAAAAATAAAGATGTTTGAGTTTGAGTGTAAGAATAACATGAGAATTTTGAATTTACAATTTTTAAACATTTTCTCTATATTCAATAACTTTACAAAAACACTTTGATATACTTAATTATTTGTTTTTTAAGCTACTTAAAATGGCTTGGAGAGAAATTGGGACATTTTATGTTTTGAGGGTCAAAAATGGGGAAAACAAATTTTTACTTTACCCCCATAAACCTCTGTGCTATCATGCTGGTTTGAGTTATCACCTTCAAGAACTCACACACATAATATATACATACTAGCTGTACCCGCGGGCTTTGCCCCGCTTGACTTCATAAGTATTCGCATGGCTCAATCACGTCCTGGTTGAAGTTCGTTCGCTACGCTCACTCACCTTCAGGTTGGAAATCGTTCGCTGCGCTCACTTGTTTTCAGGTTAGCTCGTTCGCTACGCTTACTCGCCTCCAGGTTGATGTTCGTTCGCTACGCTCACTCACCTTTTGGTTGCAAATTAGCTGTTGTCATACATTTAAAAACGTCATCCCTTTGAGCTGGCGTAGTGGCTAGAGCGCGGGACTTCGGTCCGTGAGGTCCCGGGTTCGATCCCCGCCAAGTCACCAATGGATTTGATCTAAGTGATAATGCCGCAACCCCTAGGTCTAGCCTGAAGTAATGTGAAAAACAATCCCAGGCTCGTGCCTAGCGTCCTAGGACAAAAAAAAAAAAAAAAAAAAAAAAAAATTGGTTATAATACAGTACTTTTATAAAGGTTTTTATGTTTTAATATTTAACATTGGAGAATTTAAACGTTGTTAAGTGCACAGGTGTGCTGCGATTGGGGTTTAATACATTTAAACTTATTCAAAAGTAAAATAGTTTTCTGTGCTGCAATCTGTAGAAACGCTGTGGCACTATTTCAAATCATGACTAATGCTAATACAGAATGTTGTAGTTATTCAAACTTACAAAACAGTTGGTGAAAGTAAACATCTGCTTTTAAATTATATTTATTTGTAAACATTCTAGATCAAAAAGTCTGACATTGGCCCACTTAAAACCCTCTGGGGCAGAGCCCTTTGGACGGATCTGCACCAAACTTCACTCGAACCATCCTTGAAAGATGCTTAATAATGCCTGAAAGTTTCATTACAATCTGTCGAGCGGTTTCGGAGTCCATAACGTATATACATATATATATACATACATAGTTCCTCTTTTATAGATATAGATATGACATTTTGTACAAATAGTGTTTTTGGCCTCTGGGGACATCCAAATTAAAAAGTAAATCGGTCCCTGGCCTAGGTCTTAACATGCCACTTACGGTAATAGCTACTTCCCTATAAGGAAATTCGCTAGAACACCTCATTACCTTCCCTGTAGCAGCAACCCTAAGTACTCATGTGCCGTGCGCGTCACTTTTATACATACATACTCAGCGCGCGAGCAATAACTTATTGGCCGAAGCGTATCAGCTGTCAACGGCAATAGAGGTAAAAACGACGAGGATACGTAAAATCTCTCTCGTTCGCCTTTTCCCCTCTTCTCGGACTTGACGTCGCCGACCCAGAAACCTCGATGAAAACTCAAAACTAAACATAAGTGATTAATGTGCCCGTAATATACTCCCGAACGTGAGTTTAGTCGCTCGTTAATTATAATTATTGAGTAAATTCTCGGACAACTAGAAAGTAAATGTTAACTGCAACGAAATACTCGGTTACAGCAATGCGCCGGTTTTTCTCAGAATTTAAAAATGTCAATGAGTTTGTCAAGAAACAACACCGTGAAAGTTCACAATAACTTTTGCTTAATAAATGAATTAGTGCAGGTAATATTCTGATTGGAGCACAGTACCTGATAATACTACTGCACTTTTGGTCCTTGGGAGGTTGTGGCTGCTGGTACAGGGCCTCTCAGCAACGTGGTCCAGGGATCAGCGAGGAGAGTCGACTCAGCAGGGGGGAGAAGGCGCCTTCTTTGGGAACTGAAGTGACGTTCTGGGGGGGGGGGGGGCGATGACGATGGTACAGTAAAAAATGGCACAAGATGACACATATACACTTTTCTCCAAAATATCAAAATAAACTTGCACTTGTAAACCAAACCAGATTGTACGTAAAAAACTAAAAGAAACCACGCTTTTTCGACAAAAGTCACAAGTCTGTGCACGATCTCGAGCACGTGTTCGAGTGAAAGGTAAAATCAAATAAAATCACTGTCTAAAAAGTTTATAAAAGAACTAAAAAACAACTTTTACGAAGTATTACTGCATTTGAATGGTAAAATTATATATTTTTGCGGTAATTGCGGTTTGATAGTTTGTGACCGTGAAACACGGGAGTTGCCGGTACGACGATACAAGCGGAACTGACCAAGTGGCGTCTTTCCCTCTCCACTAACATTAAAATTGACCAATGAGAGGACAGGGATAAGAATAAGTCAGGAAAAAGTTTGCACTGTGTTCAGGTTCGTTTAAAACTTGTTAAATTATGTTTTGTGATATTGTCAGGAAAAAGTTTGCACTGTGTTCAGGTTCGTTTAAAACTTGTTAAATTATGTTTTGTGATATTGTCCAATAAGTATTAGTATCTAAGTATTGCATAAATTATCAGGGAATCCCAATTCAATCGTGAGATAGTTTAAGTTCAGTTAGGGTTTGCCGGGGAGAAATCAGGGGGGTTTAGGATGTAGGTTTTCTAACTTAAAATGTCGGTCTTCTCCTTAAGGAAGCCGACATCAGCTTGTCGAAACAAAATCTAAATTCACATGGTTCTAATTGTTCAATAATTAAACTTATGTCCTGTCAATTCGGTTAATTCATTGCTAGATTGCCTTACTTCTATCAGTTTCCATTTTACAGTGTTAGTTCATTAATTATTAATGTTGTAAATGTAATTCTTTCATAGTCAGGTAGTGGGTTAGTTATAAGGTTTACTTGTCATAAATTACTAAAGTCACAGCTCATCAAAAGCTGGCTTAAGGTGTTAACGGCAATGGGCACGATCAACCTCAGGGTAAAATCCTTTAAAATACAGTTAACAGTCCTTCTTAATTTCTCAACCTCATAGTATTGTTAATAAGTTTATATATTTCCTTGTCACAATCCTCATGCATCCATACCTCTCTTCCATTATCTTAGTCCACAGTCATCCTGAACCAATTTCAAGTAGTATCACCCAGTCACCAGATTCTTTACAGTAAATGTTACACTCATTAAAATTAATGTTATCTAAATAGGAAATAAATCGTCAAATTTAAGGGAATATTATAGTGGAGTGGAAATCTAGCCAGGTAAATAGAAATTCACTTAGTCTGCAGGTTTGCTGCGGCGGGGGTATTGTCAATAATATTTTATTAATAATATAATGAAATAATTAAAATGGAGGATAGTGACTAACCATAGTAACAACACGTTTGTTTTTCAATTGCAGCTGTTTGTGATATACCTGGGTAAGACACTGGAAGGACAGATAGAGCTGCAGAAGTCTCGCTGGAACTCCTGAAATATCGTAGCCTACCGCCTGGGCTAGGCCATGCCAAGGGGGTAGGCTCCTGTGTGATCCGACACCGAGACACAAGCAGTAGTGCCAACTGTCATCAGCAAAACTTCCCTGTCTTCCTCCCTCCTCCCACCACCAGAGAGGAGCTGACATGATCCTAGTGTTGTTTGTGAATGAAACTTTAAATTGTGCCTGCTGCAAGTGTGTCTTTTTAGAGACATGTACATATAAAGACTGTGCTTCAAACGCCAGTTGCATTTGTGATACTCAATATCATCATCCTGTAGCTACTATATTAATACACGTATCTTAGTAATACTAACATTTAAATCGCTTGAGACTATATTTTTTAATTTGCGTCTCTAACAATGATCGTGTGTATTGATTTTATTGTTTAATTTAATTTTTCATCCAAAAATAGTTTTGTATAAGTGTCTGATTTGGTACATATATTCTATTGCAAATGTTGTAAGGGTAAAGTGAATTTTCCTGAATACTCAGCAGAGTAATAGGATTTTTAGGAAGGCATATGGTTGTTAAAGAAGATTAGGAATAAGATTTAGTTTACTCGCTCTCCTGAGAAAAGTTGAGGCACAATAGAGGTAAATAAAAAACTTTACTATCTTCCTCTAATACCTGAATTCTTTTATTTTCTCAAATAAGCTTGAAGAATTCATATAAGTCTAAAAAACTTTTCCCCTAAATTTTACCTTTAAAATCCCAACCAAAGTTAATGTGCCACTTCCCCATAAGCCATGTTTACTTGAAGCCAGCTGGCGGGCAGGTTATTTGCCTCATGTAACTAGAGATGGGAAATATCGTTACTTTGCAGTTATAGTCAGGAACGTTCCTTAGCTGTTTCTGTTTGTTAATAGGTGAAATAATACTATTAAATTTTTTCACCTATTACTTCCCCTCCCAGTACGTTTCAGCCATCACAGTTCTCTTGCCATCACAGGGGGATATCTTTTATTATTTTACTTCCATTTGCAATTATATTACACCTTGATTATTGTTACATTATCTATTCGTCATGAGAACGAAAAAAGAATTAAATTATTATCTGTGAGACTTTTAAGGTTTCAGCATCAAGTTATCTTTTAAACATATTGCTATTTACTCTAAACCGAAACTGATCCTTAATAAATTAGGAACATTAATTTTTCAAACCCTTAGGAGGTTTAATTAAATCGTAACTGCAATGATTTATAATTACTAAACAGAAAGCCTTATAAAAAAAGGTTCGTCTATTATATTAATACACTAGTTGTACCCGCGGGCTTTGCCCCGTTTAACTTCATAAGTATTCGCATAGCTCAATCACGTCAAGTTGAAGTTCGTTCGCTACGCTCACTCACCTTTTATTTGCAAATTAGCTGTTGTCATAAATTTAAAAAAATAATAGTGCTGCACCCTGTTTGTAATCCTTGTAACGTTAATGCTATTGAACATCATAGAACAGAACCAACTTGTTTAATTGAAACAGCTGTTAAGATTCATTAATTCCTTTTAAATATGAAAAGTCATAAGGTTAACATGGGAAACTCCAGAGCCACTGGGGCGGAGCCCGAAAGCCCGATCAGAATAAAAACTACTTAGTTTTCCTATTTAATGCCCAAAGAATCGGTGTACCGAATTTCAGCCTCCTAGGTAAATGGGAAGTGGGAGAATTAGTGATGAGTGAGTGAGTCAGCCAGTCAGTGAGTCAGTGAGGGCTTTGCCTTTTATATATTTAGATTAACACGTTCGCTGCAGCACATCAAATGGCAGGCGTATCCCCAGTGTGGCGCTGCCCGCAGTGTCGGAAAGAAACCCAATTGCCATGTGCGATTGGCTTTCAAATTTCGGTCTGGCGAATAGCAAATAATGTGCAGGGATGTCCTATTGTGATTGTATTGCCAATTGGTGGGAGAAAGATGGGACAACAAGCTGATTTTTAAGCTTGCCGGACGGGGATTTTACGGAGAAATTTACTACCAACCTTCACCACAATAAAAAGCAAGTCGCACACTACACGCTGGTATAGGTCTGCCTTCAACCGACGCTAGAGCAAAAACAAATTCCGATCGGGTACGGACGCACCCTACGGGCGCCGAGCACCGTACCCAATTGGGAACGGCCGAACTCAACGTGTTAAGTAATATATTAGGATCACTATTAATTAATAGGATGACATGGTTAGCGTTATTTCACTCCCTTGTCCCAACAAATCAAATCAAATCCTTTATTGTCATTATGCATGTAACAGTTGATATGACGTTACAAAGGGAGTGTTGCTGCTTCGGCATACAATTTGCATTTTGGACTTGTTTCTGAAGGTCTAAACGGACAGTAGCGGATGGTCTAAAAGTATAGTCAGTGAAGAAAACTTATCCACTGTATGCCGAAGGACTAATTAGACTTTTCGGGATTTGGACCCTCAGCAACTGATCCTGTTACAAAAATAAAATGGTTCTCAGTAAACTATTACCTAGCGCTCACTATTAATTAATATGATAAAACGGTCAGCAATATTTCACTTACTCGTTCTAACAATTCAGAAAACGTTACAAAATAATAGGGTATTTTCAGTAATCAATTAAGAAGGTAGGTGATTCTTCAGTGATAGTATTATTTATCCGATTACGTTAAATAACGCCCACCTCTAAAATGCACTAGGGGCAAGTAACCTGCCTGCTTTACTGCCCTAGTGTAAATGCGGCTTTTTGCAGTCTCCAGTCATGGTTGTAGCAACCCCTGTGAATATCAAGTTCAGAAAAACAATTAATAATTGTTAAATATTATTAAAAATGCCAATGACATAGAAACATAAAATAAAATAACTAAATAGACTATACTATTTTTTTATGTACGGTATTTTATGTTTATACAGCTATAGATTTAAGATGTACAGTAATAAGTAATTAAAATAAACATCTACTTTTGTAGATCTCTTTGAATAGAAATAGCCTTTTAACACCATTCATTCATTTACTGAAGAAAAAACAGGTTATCTTAAACGACCTCACCCACTTTATATTTGTTAATAGGATATTTACTGTATTACAGTTTAAAAATTGGTATTGTTATTGGAAAAGTATAGAGTACACATTTATATGCATACAAGAATATGATATTAGTAAATTTTTAGTATCTCATAATTTTCTATTACATATCTTCTAAAGGACGTTAGGTATACATTAGCTTTTTGTCATAATAAAAAAATATTTTTGAATTCACATTCTGCTCTCTTAAATTATAGGACTACATGGACAAAGACTTAATAATTTAGCTATCTGTTACATAACCTAAATAGCCCAAAAAATTTTTTTTTCTTAATTCTAGTGTATTAAAATGCATTTTACAGTATATTAAACTCTACTAGTTGCTCTGCCCGTGCTTCGCTACGGGGTGAGAATGCAGAACAGAATAATTCGGTGTTACTTTAAGATACTATAATATACTAAGAGAAACAGTTACACCACACTTATGAAACATATAGGCAAAGGCTCGATCCTGCTTATTGATTATTTAAATTAAGATATCTTAATGTATTACAGTACTATCATTTTATATAGTGTATATTTTAAAATATATGCAAAAGTATAATTCATTGACCACATGGCACCAAGAAACAATTCTCCTTGTAAACAAATTAAATTAAATAGCAGAACAGCATTTCTGACAACAGCTGGAGTTTCATAACAATGTTTGTTTCCCATGTTAATCTTATGGAGAAATACAAAACTTAAAAGGGCCCCTAGGCCTCACTCTCTAACTATTTTCCTTAAAAGAAAACACGTTACGCTCTTTCCAATGACACCAAAAACATGTCAATCGGTTCAGTAGTTTCGGAGGAGTAATTGTCACAAAAAACCTGCTTGCGTATTAAATAAGTACTAGTGTCCCTGTTGCTCGAAATCGAGCAATTGCCAAGTATTACAGGCGTTATTTTAAACTAATAACCGTCATATTTTTTGATGACATTAAAGGACTTGTCTAAAAGATTATGCAATACTCAAGATGTACATAACAGATCAATATAATCAACATTTTTTGTAAAAATATCTTATCATTTTTCAAAAGCAGTTTTTTTTAGTGTTTTCTACATATAGCCTTACTCATAGCCGCATTAGGTTGTCCATAATAACGATTATATATAAAAAAAAACACACATTATTTCTATTTCTTCTCCTTGGTGGTGTTTTATGACTTTTTTATGTTTCCATAGTTTGCAAATCGGCTCTTTCAATGATTACTAAGAAATGCAGCACAGTGTTAATTCATTTTTATTTTTAGTATAACCATTTATCCAGGCTCTCTCGTTTTTTCCATTGTAATATTTACGCCAACCCAAATTCAAATAGTAACTATTTCATTTCAACCAAGTAAGTAAATGATTGTAGCAAACTAACCGTTAAATTAGCAAACTTATTGACTGTGTTTACAATTAACATATGTCCTTCTTCTCACTTTTAATTTCTGACAACAGCTGGAGTTTCATAACAATATTTGTTTCCCATGTTAATCTTATGGAGAAATACAAAACTGTAAAGGGCCCCAGGGCCTCACCCTCTAATTATTTCCCTAAAAAGAAAGTTTCCTGCACAACTTCACGGTACGCTCTTTCCAATGACACTAAGAACATGTAAATCGGTTCAGTAGTTTCGGAGGAGTAATTGTCACAAAAATCCTGCTTGCGTATTAAATAAGTATAGATATAGCCTATATAGATTTTGGTCCATTATTGACATGTAGTTGGCTTCTTAATTATTGTTTTCAAAATATCACAGTTCATTTAAGAAATCAAATAAATAAGAATTAGGACACAGAAATATCAATCAAGTTCCAAGGTAACGTCATGCTTGTGCTGACAATCGTCCGCTCCTTACATATCTGTCTGTACTATGTGCTATGTCACAACAAATTTCATTATGCTGGGGACTGGTGATGACACAACACTAGGATGTCTGTGATTGGGTGATCCTTGGCAACTATAGTAGACTGTGATTGGGTTATAAGTAACCATGGCAACTTGTTGATTGTGTGGATGAAGAGAAAGCCAAGAAACAACAGTAGAACAAAGAGAGAAATAACAATTTGTTTTTGTCATTGTTATCTTTATCTTATTTTTATGAGTGTTGTTTTTATTTTTAATTACTTCTAATTTATACTTTTAATGAGTTATCTAATGTCATATTGTCTCCAACATGATTTGTTTTAAACTAGCATCATCAATGTTGGTTCATTATTATCGACATTCCTCTGTTATTAAACAGCATTTACCAGTAGCCTATCACTAGCAGTATTACATTTTTTGTTTTGTTCTTTACGGGATTTATTGCAGTGCATTTATAAGCACATTTTTTGGTTTGAGGAAGCTGTAATTTTAAACTAAACCATTTTTATTACTGAACTAAGGATTTATGACTTGAAAATATCATGATTGAGCAATACTGTACTTCTTTTATGGAAAAAATCAAATTGTGACAATAAAGTCTATCTCAATGGTATTATGGTGATTTTTATGGGTCTGTCATCTTTTTAAACCATATTGGATTATAACCACGGTTTTCAGGTATCCGTGATCTCCCTCTCCCCAATTGCTCCGGATTATCGGGGCTCTAGTGAATTTTCGATAGAATGATTATGTTTACTACTCATATTTTGTATTCCCCTTTCTATAAGCATGACCTTTGATTGTTGGAGGTGGAAACCCTCCCACAATGATAGTAAATTTTGGAAAGTATTATAATTATAATTTTGTTGCATAATGTTGATGCATTCATTTTTATTTTTATCAAAATCTCAAACCATAAACAGAGTTGATAAGAGGATTGTGTAAGAAATATTAAATCAATTAATTATTGCAATATTTGGTATGACAACAAATATAATGGACCTTGATTGGGTTTGGAGTACTGTTTACATATTAGATTCTGGTTATGTATAAATGTTATCATTTTTCTTTGTAGGTACTAAAATAATTATTGTTATCATAGCAATTAGAATTTGTCTTAATGATTAAAGCCAAAAAACATTTATTGAGTTTTCACTTAAAGGTGTTTGTATTTTTTAATGATAGTTTTTATTTAGATACATTGTAATACTATGAATTAAGACTTAACATTTACCACTAGCCTAGTTTTTATGTTTAATAGTATATTTTATTACTAGGGCCTAAATTGACTCTTTTCAACCCAAAAGTTTTAAGATCAAGATGAACCCGAGGTCAGAAAATGAGCGAGTGTTGAAAACACACTTTTTTCCTGTGTGATAAACTATATTTTTTGTCATATTGCACCGTTATTGGAACAAACTATGTTACAAAACTAAAATAGTTTTCTTTAAAAATAACCTTTCAAAACTATTTTTTACTTGTTTTCAATTTAATTTGGTAAAGGAAACAAGCAGCTGTTAGGTAAGTTTAAGGTAAATACCTTTGTTACGGGTAACAGATTTTTAAATGACCATTTGCTATATGTTTCATTCCAACTGTACTCAAGTGATACTCATTTGTTAAAGTGCATTTAGTCAAACAATCACATTTTGCATTTAAGATATGAATAGTCATAAATAATTTAATTACCATTCAGTTTTGTAACAGATATTACCAACATTTAATTTTGTCCAAACAATTTTCATCATTATGAGGAAGTATTAATTATAAAAAAATACAAATAAATGTAAAAAGCAATATAAACATGAAGCAAATAAAGTTATATTAATAGTCACTTTCACAGGAGATGTAACTTTTCTTTAATTATTACAAGATTGGTTTTAAGTTGTTGGATGCCCCCAAGAAATTATTATTATTAATAAATATTAAAATGTGGTATTGTTTTATTTTTTTAAATGACAATTTAATAAAGGTATGTTAATTTTATTATTGTAACAGATTTGTAATTGGCCAGAAATTGTTAATCCCTAATGGCCAAAATGGTAATCACCCACCTTATATATATATATATTTTATTTTCTATATTATTTATTTATGCCTCTCATTTAAACATATGCATAGTATAATCAATAATCATAGACAAAATGGAATATATATAGACTGTCAAAGGAAAGTTCCGCGATGTGCCGCTAGAGCGTGCTTGGTGTTCAATTCGCTACCGTCTGCTACCAGATCTACCACACTTGCGCTGCAGCAGTGTGCGCGGTAACAGCACGGCATTCCTTCCTACCAGTGGACGCCAGAACATAGGCTATGCTAACTGAAGCACTGCTGTCGGTCTATATTTAATTCTTTTTGTCTATGGTATAATTATTTATTACTCTCACTCAGATTAGTATTTTAGTGCTTTGATTATACCAGAATTTTTCTCTCGGTGCATTTAATTAATCGTGTTATATCTGTGTAAATAAATATTGTAATATTTTTACGTAAGACAATGTCCAAGTAACATGGAGTTGTTTTTATCTTGAAAGTGACCAATAATGTATGTTTAAATGATTAGTATTTGAATAAATCATGTCTATATTTTATTAAATTGATGTTTTCCTAATTCCTTTCACCGTTATTGTTGGGCTTCAGGTATATTTATTAGGATTGTTCTCATCTAACAGTAAACTGAAAAATTGGTCTGATCTGGGAATAAACTTGTTTTGAATCTGGTAAAATAAGAAGACAAAAATTTAAGCACAGAACTTTATAAATATTTCTTTTAGCGAATTTCCCTATAGGGAAGTATTAGCGAATTTCCCTATAGGGAAGTAGCTATTACCGTAGGTCTCATGGTAAGACCTAGGCCCGGGACCGATTTACTTTTTCATTTTGATGTCCCCAGAGGCCAAAAACACCATTCGTTCAAATTTTTATATATCTATATATAGATATATATATATATATGTGTCCATCCGCACGATAACTTGAATAATTGTCCGATTTTGTTGAAATTTGGTTTGAAGGTGTAAGGCGGGATAAACTGGAATGAGTTCGCGAACCAGCATGATCGGACTATGGGAAACGGGGGTTTATGGGGGGTTTTATGGGGTAAAAATAGGTTTTTCCCATTTTTGACCCTAAAAACACAAAATTTCACAATTTATTTTTAAACCATTTTGTAGAGCTTAAAAAAAATATATGGTAATTTAGTATATTGAAGCGTTATTATGCGCCTAACTGTTATGGAGAAAATTTTAAAAAATTGTAATTTTAAAATTCCCATGTTATTCTTATGGAGGATAAGTCAACTGTTGTAGTTTGCTTGTTTATGAACATATTTTGATCAAATTTGGAAAATACATTAATTTCTTACCAAACCACAGTACCTTTTAACATTTTACATGAAAAAAAACTTTTTTACCCTCCCTGTTGCAGCAAACCTAAGTACTCATTAAACTACTAATTCTGTTTAGATAGGGAATAAATGTGATATTTTTAAGGAGACATTTTAGTTTAAATCCAATCAGGCAAATGGAAATTCGCTAAGTCTGCAGGTTTGCTGCGGCGGGGGTATTGACATATGCCACAGTTCTGCTTTTGCCTACAATAAAGAAGCACAACATAATGAGAATGATTATCTTCCTTTTCATTAAAAAGAAGCACCCATTGAGAAGAGGTCAATGTTGATGTTCTTTCAAGGATTCACCAATATAAAAAAAATGCCTTTATACAAATATTATTCTGTATGCAAAAACTAGTTTCCATAGTATGAAGTCAAGATTTCAAAGTTTTAAAAATGTAAATTTTTTTACCTTTTGAAACTCTGTAACCGTTCACTTGTGGAAATAAGTCTTGAGCTCTTCCTTCCTTGGACTTCAGAAAAGCGTTTAAAATGATTTATCACTACCCAATTGGTTGAATATGTTTTACAAAATTTGTTATTGGTAGTGCTTGTAATTTAGACTAATAAAACTTGGTTCAGGTTTGTACCTTTACTTACTATTTATTAAGGTTAAGCCTCTGATTAAATATACAGAAAGACAAATGATTAAGCTGAAGGATTTCTTTACAACACCAATTTAATGAACAAAGAATAAGTTAGGATGTTACAATGATGAATGGGTTTGATATTTAAATGAACAGATACAGGGTCGCCATCATTGGTTTAGCCTAGCTCAGTAAAACAGAACAATGAGTTTACAATAAGATATAAGTTTAATTACATAAATCTTCTCAGGGAGGGGAACTCGGCTGGCTAAAAAGATCTTCAAATATTTTTATGAAAAATAAAACATGTCAATTATTATGAAAAATGGAATTTTGATATTGCCCTTAGGCTTGGGTAGGTAAGTTAAATAGTCCAACAATGAATAGGCCTAGAATGTGAAAAATTTATCAAAGTTGAATTTAGTTCTCTTGTTCAAATTGTTTTTCTGGGATTATTCTTAATGAAAATAAAGTAGTTTTTGAATTCAAATAATTAGGTTTGATCAGAAAGTAAATAAAATAGGTCTGTATTAAGTTGAATTTCTTGAAGTTAAGATAAGCCTTATACAAAATGGAGAGTTCTCACCAGATCTTCAGTAACAGTGTCCAATTAATATAAATCTCAGGTGGCAGTACAAATTTAGGAAAATAAAATATATAGAAAAGGCTAAACTGTTCTTCTGTTGTTAAGTTAGTGTTAAGTTAAATAATTTTAATCACTTTGACTTTTTAAATGTTAGGGATTATACCCTCACTGAATTCAAGGTGTTTAAGCTGCCATGTCTCAATAGAGAAGGAGGAAAATTTTTAATTTCACACAGGATGTTGATCAGTTCATTGTTCATTGTTGAAGCCAGCTGTCTTCTTTCTTCATCACCTGCACATACACTAATAATCAGGCTTTTGGATATTAATTCAATGTTGGGGTTTTAGAAATAATTTATACAGTACTATATTAATAATTTTGGATTAACATGTTATTGCAACTATGGAATTAATTACAGGTTACAGGTTTTTATCAACAATAATAATTTGTTGAATTTAAACAATATATTTTAAAATGTGATGATGGTTTCTGAGGGGTGATTAAAGGATAATATAATTTAAATTTACTATTAATTTTCTGACAATTTATTTAAATAGGCTATATGGTGAATTTTGGTACAATAAAAGAAGTAGAATTATATAACTAAAGAATGAATTAAGTGAATGGTCTAAAAATGACATGTAACATTGCATATCTCATTTCTGCTCTGAAATTGGTCCCTTTAAGCAATATCTTCAAGGTAGGGAACAGCCAGAAGTCACACAGTGCCATATCCGGTGGGTAGGAGTAGGAGTCATGGCATAGCACAGGAATGCCATGTTTTGCCAAGAAGCCTTGAACAAGATTGGAAGAATGTGCTGAAGCATCGTCCTTATGAAACCAGAGTTCCTTGCCGGTAGCACACAAATCGGGACACTTGCGAAGCATGCGTGTGGTGTAGAACTTCTAAGTAGAACTCTTTAGTAATGTCTTGTCCTTCACGTGCATACTTATTATAAACTACTCCATTACAGTTAAAAAAGCAGTCAGCACGATTTTTATTTTGCTTCAAACTTGACGTGCTTTTTGGCCACGGTGATGTTGAGTGTTTCACCGAAAAGACTGCACCTTGGTTTTGGTATCATACTTTTAATACTTTACTTTGAAATGGCGACCATACGAATGTAGGTACGGTACTATTTGGTATTTTAAGCCAAGTATGAATGGAGATGAGTGGCTCGATCTTGTAGTCTTTGTTAGTGACTAAGGCCGACATATTCCTTAGAATCATATAGACACCGTACACCCATGACTCATCACAAGTTATTAACTGTTTTGAGAAAGTTGGGTCACTCTGAATGCATTCCAGCATGTCTTGAAGAACTTTAAGCCTACTTCCTTTTGTTCATCAGTCAAGTTCTTTGGGATAAATTTTGCAGCAAACAAGATGAACACTACGTACACATTTTCACTTTTAGCGGCCGACAACTGACAAGGTCACATGACCGGTGATGAAATGTTTGACACATGGTGTCTAGTAGTCGGGAGAGACGAGAATCAGTATTGAATTTTAAAATGGCCTTGAAAAGTCGGGATGTAGTTGTAAGGGGAAATATGGGTTTTATATTTGTATACATATGTAAATTAGAGGTTGTAGAAGTTTAATTATAGATAGGAAGGGACCTTGCCAACTAGGAAGCGTGCTGGAGGTGTTTTGGTAAGCACTATGGGTGCTTTGCACTCAGTAGCTCAGTAGCTGTCGGGTCAATAGGCCACCTGAGGTAGAGAAAGAGGTCAGTTGCCCGGGGCAAGGTGCCCAGGAGAGTTGGGTGAGTACTGGTTTCTCTGTCTTGGGGTTAGGCCCTTTAGTCGCGAGTTTTTTTGTAGGGGGAAGTTTTGTTTTAAAGGGATTGTGAGATAATTGGGTTTGGTGAGTTTGAATAAGAAGAGTTCTTTTGGGGTCAGAAATTTTATTTAATTAGATCACGAGGGAAATAGATTCGTTTTCTTAGGGATTATAAATTTAAGGTTCTAGCTGCCTTCAGAGCGGTTCCTACCAGGCATTTATTAGTAGGCTATTTAGAAATAACTGTCACTGTGTTATTACTTAAAAACAATAAAATTCAGTTCTGTGAATACAATCTGGTCCTCTTAACAGCTACCCAGCTCATAACAGAAGTATAAGATTAAAGATTCGGGTTCGCTAAAAAGCTACGGTACGCTCCCATGTGCATATGCAGGGTAACCTATGGAGCGTGAGGGGGTTTCCTGCATATCACATAGTCTTTTTTTTTTGTCACAGTCGGGAATTTTTAGATAATGTAAAGTCCAATGAAATATTCATGATTTGCCGCGATCGCGCTAGACGACGATCGTGTTTTCGTCACCGCGGGAGACAATGATGATGCCTACATGGCAGCGGGAGTGTAAACTCACCTCACAATATTCATTTTAGGCTAGGCCTATTCTATAAATGTTTAAAGTTAATAAGTTAACAAAGATATACGAATTACAAAAGATGTTTTATTGAAACAAATGAACAAACATGCAATGAAATTTAAAACGCTTAACGTTATAATGAAAAGACTGACAATTCGAGTGTGGGGTTGAAATTAAAATAAAATAGAAGATAAGTTTGAAATAAGGGTTCAAATAATTTAGATGTGCTATATCTCAGGGTTGTGTCGTGCTGGCTTGAATGCTAAGAATGATTTTGCCGCAATCGCCCAAGATGACGAGATGACGTTTCCATGACCACAAAAGTTGATGGTGATGTTTCTAAGACAGCCGTGGGTGATTTTCTATTAGCGAATTTCCCTATAGTAGCTATTACTAGTATTACCGTAGGTGGCACGGTAAGAGCCTGGCCCGGGACCGATTTACTTTTTCATTTTGATGTCCTCAGAGGCCAAAAACACAGAATTTTACGGGGGTTTTAGAGGGTAAAAATTGATTTTTCTCATATTTGACCCTCAAAACACAAAATTTTCCAATTTATCTCTAGACCTTATTAAAGAGCTTGAAAAAAAAACGGTTTTTGTACGGTCATTGGTAACGGAGAAAATTCAAAAAATTGTAAATTTAAATTCCCATGTTATTCTTATACAGAATATTGAAAATGTTGTAGTTTGCTTGTTTATGGATATAATTTTGATCAAACTTGGTAAATTTATTTATTTTAAGCTAATATTTTACTAAAACACACTATATTAGTTTCAGTTTCCTTGTAGCAGCAAACCTATAGGTACTCGTTAAACCTAATGTTATTTAAATAGATTTAATTGAAAATAATTCAGAGAAATGATATTCGCTTAGTCGGCAGGTTTGCTGCGGTAAGGGTATTTTTTATTTAATAACAGCATTTTGTTGGGAATAGAAATTTGGTACAGATTAAGACCTATTCAAAGAAAAATTACCTCCGTCGCACAAACCTGCAGACTAAGCAGATTTCATTTTACGATTGGATTTTAACTCAAATATTTCCATAACAGTAATAAACATCCAGTCCAAATTCAAATAACATTAGAGTTGACGAGCACTTAAGTTTAGCTGCTCCAGGAAGGGAAAGGTTTTTTTTTATAAAATCTTAATATAGGCTACCTAGTGTCATAGATTAAAGATTAGACCTACTCTAATCTATGATGGTATATAAATTTGATCAAAATACATAATACATCCATTAATAATTAAACTACAAACTCTCTTTTTTCTCCTCAAGAATAACATGGGAATTTTAAATATACAGTTTCTTGGAATTTTCTCTAACCTTCATATAGTACAACAAATATGGTCAAGATCCAGCTCATTCATGCCAAATTTAATCAAAATCAGACCAAAACTACCAGAGAGTTGTCGTTTTCGCGAACACCCACACATACATATATAGCATAGACAATTATGCCACTTAGGTTGCAGTAACATGGCTCATTACAAAAAAATACTTCACGTGGAAGAAAATAAACATTTGGCGTCTTCTTAAAGAACATTTCTATTTAAAGAACGATTTGGCAGTCTTTCAAGCCAATTAGACGCCTAGATTTCTGTTTAATTTACTTTTAACTTTTAGTTATTGTCACTCTCTATTAACAAATATGACTAATGTTAAAACTATTTCTTGGCAACACTTTTTGGACAGATTACAGCATTAGTTGAGAATGGTAAAAATAATACACTTACCATTGAGTTGAGTGTCTAAAAATATAAGCCATTAATTGTATTATATAATTCATATTATTGCCGTAACTGAAACAGAAATCTGTGAGCTTTCACACAGCCACATTTAATTCTAGGCAGGCTGCGACCTGGGCCTAGATAGAATAATAATTAGCTACGTCGCACTTGCAAGCAGTAAGTGCTGTTTAGACTACAATTACAATATACATGTATACATTGATGGTTTTGGTTTAGACTTTAGAGCCAGGCCTGATCCCCATCCTATAAGCTAACATGGCAGATAGGTAAATTAATTGCGCGTATTATTAATTATTTAAATTTATGAATATAAACTTAATAAAATATTTAATATAAAACATATAGTGTTCTAAACCAAAAAATATACAGTATAAATTGAAAATTTATTTCGGTACATTAAAAACAGAGTCAATATTTTCATAGCCCGTAACCATTATACCAACCAAGCTTTCGCATTCTTAGAAAACATTACAATATTTACAATAGCTCACAGCTGCCGCTGCCACCGAACAAAACAGCTGTAACAGCACTTTACAGTGTTGCCCCTTCGAAGGCCGTGACTTTAACCGTCCAATAAAGTCACATCACACCGGTGGGACACACGGGAGGGACGATGGCTAACATAGTGTCAGCGTTCGCCGCTAGAACCGCTAAGTTAAAAAATTTAAATTAAGTTAATTTTATAATTTTTAGTTATGAAATTAACTTTTTAATTATAAAATTAAACTGTCATAACCTAACCTAACCAACCAAACTTGCTGATAATATAAAAAAATAGGTATATAAGATAAATATGAAATGAATGTTTACTTATAATTTTTAATTATAAAATCAATTTTAAAATTTTGTATTATAAAATTAAACTGTCATAACTAAACCTAACCAACCAAACTTGCTGATAATATACAAAAGATATAAGATAAAAATCAAATAAAGCAAAATCTTTGACAAAAAGTTAATGTCGCCAACGGGTTCCGAACACGAGACCTCCCACACATTAGTCCGATGCGCTACCAACTATACCACGAACGCCACTGGAATCACAATATGTCTCGTTACGGTAATCGTGTTGCCTCAAGAGAAGACATTTTCCACTATAGATATGACGTCACCACACCTTTGGCCATCGTCCCTCCCGGCGTATGCCCAAAACGGCACACGGAAGATTTCTCAGGTGCCATTTGACGTCACTAACTGCTGACGTCACTTTGAGGGAACACCATTACATTACCGCAACGACATGGTTTTGAGGCATCGGCCTCGGTGGTGTATTGGATAGCGTCAGCGTGTCGGGCTGATAATCCGAATGTACCGGGTACGAATCCCGCTGGTAGCACTAACATTTTGTCAACAATTTGTTTCATATCAGCAAGTTTGGTTGGTTTGGTTAGGTTATGACGGTTTAATTTTATAATTAAACAATTATAAAATTGAATTTGAGGCATTTATAATTTTATTTGATGAATAAATTTCAGATTAGTAAACCTTCATTCGATTTTTGGCTAGTTTTTGGTTAGTTTGGTTAGGTTATGACAGTTTAATTTAATAATAGAAAAATGATAAAATTGTCGGTTTCTTCAGACGCAGCAGTTAGTGACGTCAGCAGTTAGTGACGTCAAACGGTACCTGCGAAATCTTCCGTGTGCCCCACCGCCCGTATGCCCATTCCCTCCCAGTCACAGTTCACACTACCACGGCTGCCTTTAGGCCTCTTTTATGCACGGCGTTTTCGGTCGGGCGAAATCGTCGGGCGGAATCGATGTCCCTTTTATGCAGTTTCTCCGCCGAGCGGAATCCGCTGATGCCCGTGGTGGGGGTGGTCAGTGCTACCAACTTCGTTCATTTTGCCATCGTCAGTGACCCAAGAATGATCCTTGTGTATTGGTGTATACTTAATTGTACATGAATAGAAATAGACGACGGCGAAGGAGATGGGCTGTACGTGGCTGTACACCCGGTTAATGAAAGTCGTAGGGTGGATGGGGCTTTCACAAACCTATATGGGTTGCTGCGAAATGATGGGAAAAGTTTGAGAAGTTCCTACGAAACAGTAAGTTTGTATTATTCCGCGGATTTAAACAAAAATGTAATTAATTCTCATGCAGTAATTTTTCCCCTAATTACATCACTTTATTTGTACTCTTCAATCAATTACAATGAATAATGATATTCTATTTCCAATGATTACCGTAGGTAATTTCAATACTGTGGATGGCAGAGCGTGGGGTAGGTTGGCAGCACTACATTCCGCCCGACGGAAAACGCAGTTGCATAAAAGGGTTCCATTTGAACCTATGTAAAAACACGCTCCACGAAACGCCGAAACTCGGCGGAGTCTAAGTCCTCCGTCGGCCTCCGACGGAATTCTGAAACGCGACGGAGATTCCGTCGTGCATAAAAGGGTCCCATTTGATCCCATGTTAAAACACTCACCGACGGAAAGCCCGATAGATTCTGATAGATTCCGCCCGACGGAAAACGCCGTGCATAAAAGAGGCCTTAACTACAGGCCGCGGCCTGTAGTTAAAGGCGGCCGTGACACTACTCGCTGTCACTGTCAGATAGGAGCATTGTCAGCTGGACTAGAAGGAGAAGAGATACAGTAGTAGAATTTAAACAACACAACCACAATTTATTAATTAAAACAAGAACAAAAACTCACTACTAGTACTAACTACTACACTAGTCAAGTCCAAGTCACTACCATTTGATCACCTTATCAGTGATCGTCATTGTGATTGTTTTAAATGTTTTAGTACTTGTTTTGTTTACGGTACGTCACGCGAGCGGCGAGCGCCAATAATTAAATGCAACGAACAGCGAACAGCTAGTGTTGGTTGAGTGTTGAGTGAGCTGTCAGTCTAGAGTTGTAGTAGTAGTGCCAGTTGCCTACAACAATTATTATTAGGTACTGTATTATCTTTTGTTCATTACTGGAATAGTGGACTAGAACTAGGTAAGTTAGGTGTAGGCACAGTAGAATTATTAACGTTAACACCTTTGGAATTGTTGCCTATTTTTGCACCTATTATTTTGATGGTGTCCTATTTACCTAGTGTAGCAAAATAACTTAATGTTTGGTTTATGCTAATCAATTCACTTGGTTCGAAACAGGCATGCAAAATTAAAATTTATTTAAAATCAGAGCTAGGCCTATTCTTTCATCCTCTTAATTAATTTAATTGTACCAGGCCTAGGCCTAAGTTAAGTTTTTTATATAAGTAGGTAATTTATTAGGTACTTAGCCTATAAAAGGGTTCTAGTCTGCAGGTGGCCCTTGCAGGGCTATTTTTAAATTTAATATTTCCCATCAACATTGCAAAAAATTTTAATGGTTAAGTCTAGACAGTTCCGTCTAAAAAATGTTTAAATTTTGTTTGCTTGTGGGTCAAAAACAGCTTTCATGTGAATTAAAGTATGGTTTCGCGGGTAAGTAGGCTAAGTAAGTAGCTTCTTTAGCCTATTTAAGATTATTATAGTTTACTAATATTTAGGTACAAAACATTAGTAGATATGTTTTATTTATTTAAATGTTGAATAATCTAATCAGAAACCTAATTTCTTTGTTAATAACATGTATATTTGTTAAACATGATTAATATTTCAAATAATCATATTGAGCAATTTTCTAGTATAAGTTAAAGGTACGGTATGTTACGAGAGAGGGCGCATGCAGAGTTATGTTCCGCAATAATGCAATTTACATATTATGCATACAAACAAAATATATTTGATAATAATTATAAATGAAAAAATACATTTAAACATGTTTATAATTTTGTATGCATAAAATATACACGCAGTTTGACAATAGCGCATTCAGGAAATAAGCTCTGTGCTAAGGACTTAGGCGATAGGGCGCACGCGGAGTAACCTCCGCAAACTGACACTGCGTCACTGAATTGCAACTGACAACAAAATGAGGAGGAATTCGGTGGTAAAAATAGCTTAGGGGCATTCCCAGGATGAGGTACGTGAAGTGTAGAGCCGGACACGACTGCGGACACCCATTATGCATATTTATATTAACAAAAACTACAAGTGCGGAGGAAAACTCTGCAAGCTCGAGGGTTAAACAAAAGTTAACAAAATGTGATGGCAAGTTTAGCTTTGATGGCAATAGGCCTAATTATGTTTTCAAAGTAGGACCCTCATCTGGGCTTATATTTTTAAACCCTAGATCTGGCGGTCATTTTATTCACCAGTGGCGGGTATATTTTGGCGCTTTTGTAGTTGTACCATATATTTTGCCACAGAACATTTATTTGTGAATATAAGTATACAAACATACATATATTTTCTGTTTCAGTGATAAATGTAGAATAGTAATAAAAAAATAATTTTTTCCTACCAATGCGTTTAGGCGTAGTAGCAAAAGGTTTGCATATTTTTGGATTAAGAACATGCAAATTAAAAATTTCAAAAGCAACCCACAAGAAAATCACAAAATAATTTTTTTACATGTTTTATCTAAATGTAAAGGTGAATATGATTCCCTATGTAGAAATATCAATGTTTTTTAAATACTCGTAAAAATAAAATTATAAAATCTAATTCTAGGCCTACATACATATTTTTATTTTTTTTTAAAACTACCAAATTATTTTTGTCACGTAGGAAATAAGTTATTAGAATGCATCAACAAAAAATAAAATGGTACCTACTGTACAATTGGAAATAAAAGATCTTTCTGAAAATATATAGTTAATTTCGGGGAAATTTACGTCGGAATGTAAAATTTTCAAGATTTTTTTACAAAAACATAATTTTTATGACATTTTTATAAATAAATACAATTTTTACAACCAACCTCATAGATTCAGAGGGAATTGTAGGGAATTTATTGTGGTTTCAGAATATGTACTAATATTGTATACAATTTAATTGTCAATCGCCAAAAACAGCTGTTTTTGTAGTCAGGTGGCCAAAACTTTCCACCGACAGAATCTATTTTGAACTAAACTATGTTTCTCACTACATAATACTCACTCAATAATGTTTGATGCAGTGGCGTAACAAATTTTTACGGGCCCCCCTGCAAACTTATATTTTGGGCCCCCCCCTCATGAGTTTTTTTTTACACCACCGATACAACATAATCAAACGCCCTCCCCCTACCCCCTGAGTTATTTTTGGACCACCGATACGATCAAACAGATTAATCATAAAAAGAGTGGTAAATAAATTATGAAAAAAATATTAAATTAAAATATTAAATATTAATTTAAGATATTAAATTATGGGTTATGTTCCATAAAAGAGTGTGTTAAGTATTTCAGTCGTGGTTTGATGAAAATGTTACATCATTATATCAATATCAGTGTTTGTAAATAGTTTTGAAATAAAATTAAAAAACCTTATTTTCCATCCATGTATCAGAATGTTTTTATCAAGGAGGTTAAACATTTTACATTTAATTTATCACACATGTTATCCATTTTTATTACCCTGATAATTAGACTAATTTGTTAATTACAAGGCAAAAATGTGGTACGAATTCCCCTATTAACCCCCTTAGTTGCCTTTGGCTGTATTGGCTATTTACAGCTGTAGTAATATGCAGCGATCTCTATTATAATAGAGATCGATGGGAATATGTCGGCCTTAGTCCCTTTCAAAACTAAAATGTTGCGCCCCTCATCCTACACTCATCTACATTAATTCTTGGCTGGAAATACCTACATTGGTATGGTCCCCATTTCAAAGTAAAGTATTAAAGTATTAATTTATTAGGTTAGTTTAATCTTTGGTTACAATTAACTCATACACTAAAAGCTGGTTAATTTAATAGATTGACATACTTTTATCAAAGGCTAAAATAGCCTATAGCATTTTATTTTATCTTTGTATGGATTTCAAGCGTTTATCTTAAAACAAAAATGTCTTTAGTATTGGTTAATTGTGAGGTAAAATAATATATGGGCTAACAAACACAGTCAGTAGAGTAGCAGTATATTGTATTTAACAAAATACAATCAATATTAGGACAAAACTAAAATGTAAAATAATACAATATTAAAAGCCCCAGCCAACGTTCAAGACTCCAGGCTCCAAAGTAACAAAATGTTTGCAGACGACATAAGCAGTGTACGAAATCACTGAGAAGTAAAATATTTCTAGTTGACGAAAGTAAGATTGCATAATAATCAAAGACCCACGTTATAACAGTTAAATTTATTACCCTAGTTCTTTATCACTGAAGAGGCCTAACGAAATTAAACGATAACTGATAACAACATATTATTAATAACATCAATGTTATTACTTGTTCGATACAATTATTGAATGATTGATAATACATTTAAATAAGAAGGGGCCTTCTGTTACGCCACTGGTTTGATGCATGAAAATGAATCCTCAGAATCTCATAATTCTAATGGTATAAGTTTTTTTGCGTTTTAAAACGGTTTTTGTATTTTAATAGAAAGCCCGACTCGTCTTGGTTGATAATCGACCAGCGCCACTAAGAACTCACGTTTTAGTGGTCGAAAATCGACCAGCGCCAGATAGAGGGTTAATTGGAGGGGCTTTTTGTAAAATCAATTAATTAGGCTATTAAAGTGAAACCATGTTAAGCCACGGCCCCCTTTATCTCCAGGCCGCGGTCTGGTAGGATTGGCAAAGTCGCAAGTAAGTTAGTGTTGTTTAGCGCCAGACGTCCCATAAGATAACATGGCAGATAGGTGACACCAGCTCATTAATTTGTGTTATTTGGGCAACAACAAAAACTAATTTAGATAAAGTACTAATTAAGCAGAAAAAAGCTATCAGGGTGATGAAAAATCTTAAAAAGAAATAAGAGCCAGTCAAGAGCATCTTTCATGAATTACAAATATTAACAGTTTATAGTCTTTCTTTACATTTATGAAATAATAATTTATGCAAAACAGATCCAACTATCATCCATCTCAACAGAACAATTAGTATATAACACATGATTAAAAATTAACCTACCTCGGCATAATCTAGAATTTTACACTAAAAAGACATCTTACATAGGGTTAAAATTTCTCCAGTCTATACCAGCTCACATCCGAAAAGAAACAACAAAATTAACATGGGCTTTATGTGTTGCCATGCTGGTGACGAAATAACAACGAAATATAAACAGAAAATCAAAACAAATGGAAGAAATTATAATAACATGTTTTATTTACAGCGTGGGATGAAAATGGAGAACCTTTGACTTACAACTATACATTCCATCCCTATATTAGTAATGGTTTATTTACCTTGTATTTTCGTCAAAAAAATTGTATAGAAGCTACAATCATGGTTTCGACGCCGATTGCGTCATGGTCACATAGGACATGTCGAGAATCAAAGCATTGTTGTCACAGTCGGTCGCTTGGACGTCGTCAAAATCACATGAACACAAACACGAACACATACGGACATATTAACATTTAACAAAAGGTTCTCGGGGACGGAATACAGGCATGTGTTTATTTAACTGTACCGTCGCGGGAGCCGGCTGGAGAACAATCACAATAATTCCATCCCTATGTTAAAGTTGACGCCAGTTTCAATTAAATTTGTCGTAGTTGAGGTAGGCCACCAACAGATTGCGCTGATCTAAATGACTAACTTCTCTCGAATACACGATGATTTTTACCAAGTCAAACTTATGGAATGACATATTAAGAGCTACCGTATAGCAACTAACTGTTATGACCCATCCACTTTGTCAGCATCAAAAACTAAGATAGAAAATATAATTTTAGACACGCGTACAGACTGTGACTGGTTCACACAACTAAATGTTTTTAATTTAAAAAAAATTGTGACAACTGGTCCATATAGATGGAATGTCTCCTTCAGTATCCAATATTCAATGCGGATACATTACATATTTTTGGTCGAGTTTTTGACTACTGGACAAACACTAGTTCTAAAAGGAATTAATGAATCTTAAGAGCGGTTTCAGTTAAAAAAGTTGGTTCTATGATGTTCAATAGTTACAATAAAGTTACAAGGTTTACCAACAGGTTGCAGCGCTATTAATTTTTTGTTTGAATGCATGACAACATTTAATTTGAATCGTTTATTGTAGAAACCCCATAACCAACATTTTTTTGATTTTTACTTTTATCATACCAGTATTAATGATCTACAAATTTAAATACATTGTTTAGTGCAGAAATCACACAAAAAAAAATGTTGGTTATGAGGTTTCTCCAATATTCAAATGAACTAAGCAGCAAGCAATTGTTGGAAGGAAATCATGACATTTTGCTAACAAACGTTCCTGAAGACATTGCGCAGGTCATAATGAGTGAGAAATGATTCAATAATTGGCAAGCATTTATGTAGATAAAATAAATACCAGTTATAAACATTAAAATAAAATAGGCCTACCCAGTTTTTTCTATATCCTAATTTTTTATGTCCATTATTTTAATTTATGTACTCAAAACAATAACCAAACAAATCAAATAACTCAAACAACATTCCGCAAACAGAAAATGTGATGTAAAATGTCCCTTGTGGAACATGCATGTTGGGAACAAATGGTTGTCAAGTGATATTGCACATACCCCAGCCGAGCCATCCCCGCTTACAGCTAACAAACAAAAAGCTTACTGTTACCACATCGGCTACTTGCTAGGCACGACTATGTACGTACATACCCATAACAATGCGTACTTCAATTCTTCACCGTAGTTAGGGAGTAAGCAACTTTTAGCTACCTGCCCTGTGTTTCACTGTGCTTTTACCCTTACTCAGTAACAGAGCTACACAAGGCATCTCACTTCATTTTCACTCATATTTGGGTTAAAATACAATCTTAGGTGGCATCCCCATCTCAATTGATATAACACTGATAATAATAGTTGACGCCCGTCCACCTAACTGGATAGATGATTTGGTTACCTGAAAACATTTATAACTTCATATTTATTTATCGTATACCTTTGAGAACCATAATATTGAGAGGATTGTGGTAGTTTACTTTAACTATTTCCTATACAATTCAATTTAATTAATACCAAATACCACATTTTTGTGTCACTCGCTTTGCAACCGCACCCATCATACTACAGACTCTTTTCAAACATGAAATTTTATCTTTGGGAACACAAATTTAAGGGTTTTGCACATCAATTTTAAGTATACAGAATACTTAGTATTTTTAACTTAACCTAAAATTGCCTAAAAAACCCTCACCTTGTTAAAGAACTAGTCTCCTACCTTTTTCAATATGCACCTATTAAGATACTACAATATTGTATGTTTAGATTCATGACAGATTTTTATGAAAACGTGTACATAATGTATGGCTACATGTTGTTGTATTTGCTGATTTCAGATGACCAGAAGAATCCTCGTGGCTCTTGATTTTGACCATACAATAGTGGAGGAGAACAGTGATATTGTAGCTCGCAAGTTAATCCATTCAGATTTAATACCTGATGGAGTACGGAGACTTTACCAGACAAAGGGATGGACGGAATACATGTCAGAAATTTTTAAGATCCTCCACAAACATAAAATTAGCAAAGAAACAATTGTTGAAGCCATGCATAACATGACACCGACACAAAAAATGCCAGAATTTCTGAAATGGTTGAACAAAGAAAACCATGAGGCCATTATTATTTCAGACTCAAATTCAGTTTTTATTGATGTTTGGCTTCGACACCGAAAGCTCGATGAATACATAGCTCGTGTTTTCACCAACCCAGCTAGTTTTAATGAAGACGGCCTTCTCTTAATAAAACCCTATCATGAACAGGACTCATGCAAACTGAGTACAAGGAATCTGTGCAAGGGAGCCATTCTGGAGGCATACATAAAAGAGAGACAAGAGGAGGAAGTTTTATTTGACATGGTTGCCTATGTTGGGGATGGACAGAATGACTTGTGTCCTGCGCTGCGACTAAGTAAAGATGATGTGGTGTTTCCTCGTATTGGCTTTACTTTAGATAATATTTTGAAAAAACCAAAAGATGAGCAAAAAGTAATCGCCAGAGTAAGACCATGGATTTCTGCTGCTGAATTTATTCCTGTTCTCCAAAATTGATTGTTTTTATAATGAACATTATGAGTTTTACAAACAAATTAATGTAAAACTGCCTTAAATTGTACATTCAGAATTTTAGTTTTCAGCCTTCTAAAAAAAATAATTCTGACAGCTTTCTTAGTGTATTTTTAATGTATGTATTTGTGAAGTTTCTTATGTCGTACAGATTGTATGTAATAGTATCAAACAAAATGCTTTTATAGACATGTAGTAAAACAAGTTTTGCGGTCACTTTATTCTTTTGACTCAACCTGCCAAAAACACATGAAACTTCTATTCAATTGATTCTGAGAGGCATTTTCTTTGTCTCATACAAATTTATTTATCTCATTCTATACTATTGACGTATGGTCCAAAAACACTTTTTACCTTCCCCGTAGCAGCAAACCTAAGCACTTGTTAAATCTAATGTTATTTAAATTGGGAATAAATACGTCTTATTTATGGAAATATTTTAGTAAAAATGTAATCAGACAAGTTGAAATTCGCTTAGTCTGCAGGTTTGCTGCGGTGGGGGTATTTTTTAAATAGAGTCAATATATAACACAATTTTTTTTCTAAATTTATATGTTATTTTGCGGCACGTTGAGCCTCACGGGGTCACTAGTACATGAATAATATTTTTAAAAGGTAAATTGTGTAAAATTTGTTGACATGGCCAATTGAAGACTTAGTGCTCATAAGTACAGCAAGATGTTAATAATTGTAATCCAGTAGTAACCTATTCCCATGTAGAAAACTACTCACAAGAGCTATTAGTCGAAAGTTTGAAGAAACTGATAAGAGGTTTTATCAGCAAAACATGTATGTTTACTCAGTGTTTACCATTAACATGTCAGTTAACTTAGAGTGAATTTTACGCCTGTATGTAAAAAACCTTGGTTAATTATTGAATATTATATAGCGTGGTGCAAAAAGGATGGTCGGATTTGAACTGCCTAATACTAGTAGGGGGGAGGGCCCACTGCCGGCCATCTGTAAGTCGACCATAGCAGTGGCGTATCTAGAACATGGCCTTGGGGGGGGGGGGGGGGGGATGGAGGAACCCCAACACCGGGGGGCCTGGGTGGTATGGAATAAAATTTTGCAAAATTAGAACTTCAAACTCGCGTTTCAAGGCATTCCAGAGTTTTCCATTCCAGGCATCACGTTAAAAAAAACTCCAAAAATCAACCCAATTGAGGCTGTCTCTGGCCGGTCAGAATCAGGAAATAGCAAGTAACTAAATCAAAATCACAATACAACAAACGAATAAATTATCATTAATTCGTTGTTGTACTGTAGCCTTCTGAGCTGCGCGTAAAGAGCGGCATGTACTGAGTTTTTATTATAAATTGATTTTAACAGGCTGGAAACTAAATGTATTATTGATCAGTAGACCTACAGTGTAGACATTTGTTGAGACACTTAAGACACAATCAACAATGAAGATTGACAGTCAAAATCAATAATGTGAGAAACCCCTCAATTTCTTGTTGTTTGTGTATGTCAGCTGTAAAGAGGATTTAAAGGTAAAATATCCTTAGGCTACTGTTAAAAATTGATATTAATATAGTTGAGAAATTCTTGTAATATAGTTGGGTTAATTCGAGAAATATAGTTGGGAAATCCGCGTAAAATAGTTGGGAAATTGAAAGTGTCTCCCCCCAATATTTTTTTGTGTGACGCCCCTGACTGTAGGTAATGACTGTAGGTAAAATTATGGCGGTGGAAAGAGTGACCCTCCCCAGGCACCAGAACCCATAAATTATTACAATGAAATGAATTCAAGTTTTCTTGGTTTTTTTGCCATATCGTCTATTACTTCTTCTGAAGAAATGGCAATTTCTCGGTGGATACTGAGTTAGGAAGATTATGAAATTACCCGCGACAATTCCTGATTGATCCTCTGTGAACAATGTTCATTATTAACCCATTATGGAGGAGGTTATTCAGCCTAACTAAAGCAGCAATGCTACTTCAATGCTGAGGTAGTGATGAAATACTATCGATAGTATTGATAGTTTGTTACCATCGATAGTTTTCCGATAGTGAGACTAACCTAACTATCGACCTTAACTATCGATAGTTTATCAAGCTGAATTAATGTTCATAACAATAAAATTTTATCCATAACAATGACATTAATTAATGCCATTTCAAAGAATATGATCATAGTACAGCTCTACGATGATTATATAGTTTCTTTGAAGTGATAATTTATATGTTATCTCAGTTTGAATACTACCAATCTACCTTAGATTTTACTAGTCACGTTGGAACAGGAACACTCAACACTGCAGACGAAACCACACTACCAGGGGTTAGGGGTGGTAGTTAGTGTTTATCTCTGTTATCAACTGACTGCAGAGGTTAGGTTTGCGAGTGCTTCTATGTTTATAGTTTCTGATATATGATTTGTATTTGTTTTAAAAAGGTAAGAGAGCATTTATGTCTACTGTATTTATAATACAGTTACAATAACGCCTATTACTCTGTTAGCCTACACCTTGGCAAGCAATTTACTATTAATTATTTCAATTTTAGTACATGGTGACTCAAGTTTTGCCCGGAGAGTCTTACGTTACATTTATTAGTAGGCCTATAGATAGCAAACTCTCCTACGGATTATTTCTGTCTCGCTGAGGATTGAGAGAATATGTATATATTTTCTGTGTTATATGATTCTCAGCGCATTCTAATTTTGACGTTGACATATCCATAAGTTTCTTGTACTTTTGATAGTTCTTATGCTGTTCATCAACAACAACAACTGTTGTATTATAATTATTGCTTTATTTTTGTAGATATTCTTTTATAATATTAGATGTTCTAAGCCAGAAATGTGTATTTTTAGATAGTATGTCGGGAAGAACAAAATCGTCTGTATGGCAGCATTTTAAAAAAGACGCAAAAAACCCTTCTTTTGCTACTTGTTTAGTGTGCAATAAACAATATAAAACAAGTGGAAACACCACTAACTTTAAAGATCACCTGAAGAGGTTTCACCCCTTTTTAAAAAGTTATGGTTCTACTGAAGTTGAGGCAGACGATGAAGATGGTCTAGATGAACCAGCGCCAAGCACTAGTACAAGTTCCAGCTCATCAAAAAGTACTAGTCACAAAAATGTTATTAAGCCGTCTAAAGGAATTAAACGTCCAATCAAACAATATTTAGACCGTGGAAACAAATAATATGACAAAAAAAGTGAAACAAAACAAAAACTAGATAATGCATTGGTTAAAAAAGTTATTACAGATCTTGAACCATTTACCATTGTGGAAAGAGAAGGATTTAGAAATTTTATTTCTGTGATCGACCCAAAATACGAGCATCCGAGCAAAACTACTGTAAAAAATGTCCTCTATCCACAACTTCATGATAAATTGAAAGATAAGTTAAAAACGCTTCTAACGGAAGTGAAACATGTAGCAGTCACAAGTGATATGTGGACATCCCCCTCTACAGAGGGTTACCTAACTCTAACTTGTCATTTTATTCATGACACTTCCCTTTGTTCAGCGGTCTTGAGTACCTCTTGTTTGAAGGGAAGCCATTGCAGGTGCTGCCCGTTCAATCATAGAAGAATGGGGTATTGTTGACAAGGTAGTTTGTATGGTAACAGACAACAGCTCGAATATGGTTGCGGCTGCAAACCTCCTGAAAATCAAGCACTTGCCTAGTTTTGCTCATACACTCAATCTTGTAGTGCATGATGCCTTAACTGCCAATGAAGAAGTGGCAGCTGTCATAAAGAAGATAAAGGCCATTGTAACGTATTTCAGAAGCAGCTCTTTAGCTTCAGACAAGGAGACACAGTGTAGCTTATCTAAGAAGACATTGAAACTAGTAAATGACACTCCGACACGCTGGAATAGCACCTTAATGATGATTAGGCAAATTTTAGAGGTTGGGGTTAGGGATAGCCTTGTCTTGGCAATGAGCTCTCTTAAGAACTCCCCACCACAATTATCAGTCGAAGACAATTCTCTTATGAGGGATATGGTGGAAGCCTTAACACCATTTGAAGAGGCGACTGAACAGATTTCAGGGGATCAGTACATCACGGCAAGTCTGATTAACCCCTTGGTTATTGGGCTAATCAACCACCTTAGAGAATTGGAGACGACTATGGCAACTGAAGGAGGAAGAATCTTAATCCATGCATTGATAAGCGCTGTAAATCAAAGACTCTTCCCTTATGAAACGAGAACAGTCCCGTCAACTGCCACGCTACTAGACCCGAGGTACAAAGGATTTGGCTTCAGAGTCCCGGCAAACATTATTAAAAAATGGTTAACTTCGGAGGTGCCATCAGCTGTGAATAAAGAAAAGTCTCAACAGCCACAGCTACAAAAAGCTTCTTCCTCGACCCAGAATGTTGCAGAAGCTACACCTGAGGAGGAAACCCCACCATAGAAAAAAAAGATAAATCTTCTGGGTTTTGTCCATAAAATTGCCGCCCATCAACGCCACAGGCATCAGCCACAACTGACGCCATAATAATCGTCCGGCAATACACAGAAAACAAAGTTATTGAACCCAAAGGTGAGGTTTTGCAGTTTTGGAAGGATCATTACAGCAACATTTTAGCAGACATTGCCAGAAAATATCTGTGCGTGCCAGCCACATCAGTGCCTGCAGAGAGGGTTTTTTTCAAAGGCGGAGCTGATAATCACTGACCAGAGAAACAGACTCAAGCCCAAGTTAGTGGACGCATAGATTTTTGGAAAAGCCAACATGTGGTTGTTAAAAGTTTAGGTGACATCAATGTGTTTTAATTAACTCCAACCACTGTTTAATATGTTTTTATATTTAGCTAACATGTCTTTTAGTTTTAGGGGTTTCTCATTTTATGCCTAACTGATTTAACAGTTTATGATTATTCTTGTTTGTAATACATAGCCTAGGTATTTAAAACTTTCATCTTACATTTTCAGGCTGAAGGTTTTATTTTTATCCAAAATACATAATATTTATATGTTATTAAAATATATTAGGTATTATTCGAATTTAAGATTGCAGTTTTTTAAATCACCTTAAACTAAAAAATCGCAAATTGATCACCATAAAATTACTATTGATAATATCGATAGTTTAAAAAAAAATATCGAAAACTATCGATAGTCCAACTATTGATAGTATTTCATCACTATGCTGAGGGCCACTCTGTCAACCACTCGTGATGGGGGGAGACTACTTTAATTCTTTACTTTTAAATGGCGACCATAATTAAAGTGTAGAATGAGTG